ATTAGTGCTAAATTGATATTGATTACTGCATTGTTGGGTTTAGAGCTTGCAAGAAAGGCATTTCACTGTACTTGTGCATGTGGCATTAAAACTTGAAACTTGATTAAACTACATATTCTTATTTAGTGAGTCAAAATTGTATTGAAAGATGTTGAAAACTGGTTAAAAGACAGAACACTGGTCCCTGAGGTTTCCAGAGAGAGAGAGAGAGAGAGAGAGAGAGAGAGAGAGAGAGAGAGAGAGAGAGAGAGAGAGAGAGAGCAGATGGAAGGACCGTTGCCTCCTCCTCTCAGGATCAGTCTTACCCAGCATCCTCCCTGTTGGGCAGACTGAACCTCACGTCCCTCACAGCCCTTCACAGAACCCAAACTCTCCAATTTGTCAACTGGCATATGGAACATTATCAGTGAGGCACATCAAATGAGAGCCACAGATGGAAGGGAATGATAGCGGCAGGGTGTGCCAATGACACACAGGGGTTTAATTGAGGTGCTTGGGGTTTAAATCACATTTCAGATACTTTAGTTAGGGGTCAATACTACTCGTGAGCACCTCAAACAGTAGAATAGCAACTGATGCATCTGAAAACATTTGATGGCTTCTGGCTAAGATACTGTTTTAGAGCATTGAGAAAATTCACAAATTATTTTGTTTGAATAAGGCTGTGAGAATCTTTACAGAGAGTTTACTGACTGATTAAGTTCTCTGGGGCTTGAATATCAGTATCATTCTTAGCCACATAAGCTTCCATTAAATTGATCCTGCCCTATGAAACTCCAGCTAAGCTCCAACCTGGTCAGGCATAGCCTGCATGGCAGAAAACCACTGCTTTCCTGACCCTGAAGACCCCACCGTCACACTGTTGGCCATTTATCTGAAATGAGTCCGCTGCTCTTGTCTCGTTCGGGGAGTCCCAGTGCGCTCACTGTCTTAGAGAGACAGAGGAAGAGAGGGAGAGAGAGAGAAAAAGGGGGTGGGGAGAAAGAGAGCGTGTGTAAGTGAGTGTGGGCACCTGTGTGTGTAGCAGGAAGGGAGAGGCCTCATTATAAGGGTGGTCACACACTTTTCCCCGTTAATGAGAATGCTTTCACTCCACTATTATCATTCATCACTGGGCCTGTGCTCGCAATTATTGAGGAACAGTGTGCATAATGAGGACTGATTAATTAATTTAGGCCAAACTAGGAGGGCTGGCTCACTGCTCATTAAGACAGCACACTTGGGGCACGGACGGGCGGGCGGCAGCACAGGTGACAGTCATGCACACCTGCCTGTGACTCACACCGCCGGGTACAGGATGGCATGTCTAGGTTAGAGGCCAGGTGAAGATGTAAGTGTTGTAACAACCTCCATACATACTGCATCTAGCTACCTTATGTCACTCTGTCAAACACTTGGTTTATCTCTTCCAATTAGATCTTCTGTATTGGCTCTGATATGCAGGAACAGTATTTAAAGTTGTAAGACACAGAGTGGTTCTCTCTCTCTGGAAACAGTAACAGAAGCAGAACTCTGGCTCTCAGGGCACCTTGGGTCCAAAGAGTCCTTTAGTGGAGGCTCTGGAAATTACATGTTTAATACTGACTACAATAACTGGCTTATATATTAGTTTTGCAACTGTCAGTGCAATAGGTTATAGTCATCATAAATAGATGTATCTAGGCTGATTGTGGGAAAAGGAAGAAGAAAGGAAGAATGTCTCCTCACCTCTTCTCCCTTCCCCTCTTCCCTCCATTCCCCTCTTCCTCTCCAGGCTGGCAGGGTGCCCGTGCACAGGGCAGTGTGGTGTGAGCGATGCCCCCGGGGGCACAGGGATTTGGCAGGATTGTCATTAATAAGGCATTTTTCGCTCCCTAGCCCGGGCATCAAGCCAAAGCCTTGGCCTTTAAAAACCAATACTTAACTTTCTAATTAAAAAGAGAAAGCTAAACGAACGGGAAAACCTAATTCTGTTTAATTGTTTCGAAATAACTAAAGTCCTGGGAAAGCCGGGGTGAGAGTAAAGAGATTGAATGGTGCTGTGTCAACCTACCATCTCAGAAGTGTTCACCGTGTCCGGAACATCCAAGGAGGCTCTGCCAGCCATGACCGGTTTCTCCATTAAATCTGAGAGAGGAACTAACAATGGAACGGGTGCATACTGGTTCTCTGCTCAGAAAGTGTCCCAGTCTCTCAGCCCAGTCCTCTAGAGCCAGCGTGCAACGGGGCCAGTGCAGCACACAGCCTTCCATGGTCTCACATGACTGGACACTTCCACTGAGAGAGCTACTCCATGGATCCACAGATGCTTCTAGAGAATGCCTACACTCTTCACTGGACGCTGCTGGGCAGCATGCCAGTATTCAATCCCTGAGAGCAATCTCAATTACCCGTACACGTGTTTGAAATTAGCGAAAGTGTGTGTGGGCATGCGTGTGTGTGTGTGTGTGCTTGTAAGTGTCCAACATTTCAGGGGAGCTGCTGCAACAGCTGCCCACAGGCTTACTCCATACTTGCCCGAGGCTCAACCTCAGCAATGTGTTATTAACAGCATAGCATCACATCCCATCACTCTGTGGCTGTCCATCTTCATGCATCTACTTCTGCTTGTGTAGCTGACAGTGCAATATTGGGTATGTCAGCTTCTGGCCCAACACCATTCAAGGTGCATGTGTATTTGTCTCCATGTTGGTTGGTGCATGATATTGTTTGCCCATGAGGATTTGGATCAGTGGACTTAAACACTGGCTTAATCAGGCAGTTGATCCATGTCAAACCTGTCAAATCCACAGCCTGTCATTCCCGTCTATCCTACAGGCGTTTGCGTTGGAGTGCCTCGCCCAGGGTTTTAGTGGGAAAATGGAGGTCTAATTTGATTTTGTGCCCGTCCTGCAGACTGGAGGGATTATTTGTCAGGCTTCACCTCGTTTGGCTCTCATCGCCGTCTTTGCCAACCCTGATTTGTATTCTGGAGTTGTAGCCCAGAGTTAGTAAAGCCAAAATCTGTCCACAGGCACGTGGTGGCAAGGGCAGACTTTCAGCTAATGTCTGCCTACCACCTCACTAACATCAGGCCCTGTGGGCTTCACCCTGTTTAATAAGAGCTGCTTAAGTTTAAGCAGCGGATTGAAATGGTCTGCCACAATCCATCAACACGCACACACAGACACACACAGTAAAGTCTTCCCCTTCAAGGACATGTGAAGGATAGCAGAGAAAGAAAAAGAGAGGGGGGGGGCAAATGGCAGAGCAGAAGTGAGGCAAGCTGGGCGGGCCACGCCCACCCATAGCTTCTGAGAGACGGATTAGAAATGTGATTTGCAGGCAGAGCAATCAGGCAGGATTAATCTGCGTGAAGGGAGGGGGGGGGGTCCTAATGACCATTTAAAAGTCAGTCCTGTGGGTGCCCATCCTTAAAAAAGTAATGTGCACTCAATCATGTAAATGTAATCTGAATGCAGAATAAATATGGTAGCGGATGCAGGAGACAGGTGATTGATAGGTACAAGAGGATTGCTCTTACCCATGGCTGTCTGGAGAACGGAGCCCCCTCCTTTATTGCTCTTAAGTGCTCTCCTACACACAGGCTGTGAATATTAACATGCCCCATCCGTGGACACAGACATCTGCAAAGCTATTCTGACACATGCTCCAAGGTGCACACTGAACAGAGGAGCTATCTCTGCTGAAATCATCTATGGGGGACTAGAGTTTTTCACGGCTTATCATCTATGGGGGACTAGAGTTTTTCACTGCTTATCATCTATAGAGGACTAGAGTTTTTCATTGCTTATCATCTATGGGGGACTAGAGTTTTTCACTGCTTATTTTTCCATTCTTTCTTCTATGAATAAAGGTCAGGCTTGCTCTTGCTCCGGAAAGAGAGAGGGCAATGAGTCTAAGTTCTCTGTTTGGAAAGGTTAATGCATTCAGAAGTTAGGCAGAGGCAGCAGAGCCCCCAAGTCAATCTGTGACTGATTTGATGTGTGTTATTATGTAGATACATTGCAGCAATGACCATGGAAAACAGGGCCGATTCCTGCCACTGATATAATGACAGTATTTATCTATACAATGACCTGATCAGATGGGGTCCATCCTCCTTCAGCATCTGGTCTACTTTTGTATTGTTCACTTTATTTTCTTGTTATGATGCAGTTTTCTTTTTGTTAGTATGAATAATAGTCTAACTGTTTATCTTATTCTCTCAACCATGTGGCCCTTTTTACTGCCTAGGACCTCTCCAGTTTGAGGCTCTTTCCCTCTACCTACCATAATATAATAATAATATAATATGCCATTTAGCAGACGCTTTTATCCAAAGCGACTTACAGTCATGCGTGCATACATTTTTGTGTATGGGTGGTCCCGGGGATCGAACCCACTACCTTGGCGTTACAAGCGCCGTGCTCTTCCAGCTGAGCTACAGAGGACCTGAGCTACCATCTATCAATACCACTCAACAGTTAACCAGTAGGCATTATTCAGCAATCTTATTTGCCCATGAGGTTAAACTAGTCACCCGGAGTGAATAGCAATGAGGAATTGTGAGTTCTCATTATACTTTCACTTCAACAAATACATATTCCAGTACATAGAGAGAGAGAGAGAGAGAGAGAGAGAGAGAGAGAGAGAGAGAGAGAGAGAGAGAGAGAGAGAGAGAGAGAGAGAGAGAGAGAGAGAGAGAGAGAGAGAGAGAGAGAGAGCTCTGTGGAGAGTCAGCGGGAGCAGAGGCAAATTAATGCTGAATTATTTAGTGTTTATTTCACATCAGATCCATCCAATGTAAACATCATTTAGATTTCCTGCAAAGCTCTGACATTTCCCTGCAAGACATCTCTTAACCTCCCTCTGCAGTCTAATTTTGACTGGAAAAGTCAATTTTTTCAGACCGAAATTAAGCATTCCTCTCCTCTGCTCTGTGTGCTCTGTCAATCTTTTGTTCATATATGCAGATATAAGTTAGACCCTCTGTTTGTCAGATGTGTTGACTGACTCCTGCCTCTCTCTCTCCTTTCAGGCTCAATGTGGGTAAGAATGATATGTTGACCTTCTACGATGGTGATGACCTGACAGCAAACACCCTGGGTCAGTACAGTGGCACCAGATCTCGCTTCAAGCTCTACACCTCCATGGCTGATGTCACCATCCAGTTCCAGTCGGACCCTGCTACTAACATCTACGGCTACGGCAATGGCTTCGTGGTCCACTTCTTTGGTGAGGCATTACTAAGCTACTGTTTAGTTGTACCTGCACACTGTTTTCTGAGAAATTCTTTAATGGAAGAATTCTTGGAAGATGGCTTGATAGAAAACAATAAAACCTCTATTCTCCAAAATGGCTCTGGAAAAATTGTCCATACAGTACACGGAACACAGTGTTCTCTTTTTTTGTAGACTATCACATGCAAAGAATGATAATAACTTTTTCTTGGCTGAAAATAGATCCTCTAACAAGAGGCTGCTGGTAGCAACCAGTGAGAGAGGGAGATGAATACTACATAGAAGGTAATACTGTGCAGAGAAGACAGCAGGACACAAGATGAGAAGCAGGATTGTACAGTATCTGCTGTCCTCTCCCTCTGAACAGCCACCGGTGCATACGATTATTGGACATCAAACACAAAAACACAATTATGTGGCGCGCTTTGTCCACATCAGCTGTATTTGCCGCGTGCTGCACCCCCGGCCATGTGTGCCATAGTGAAAGAAGAAAAGGGCAGAACGGACGGTGCCAAACCACCCACTGCCCTCCCCTGGCTGACACACATAGTGCAGTGTGCAATCACTGCAAATTGATGACATTCTCTTCACACACCAGAGCCTAATTCACATGCAAAACGCACCACAGGATTCCCTGTGCCTGTCACTGCTGTGCTGCTGAACTCAATTGTCATTTATCTGTTTTTATCAACCACACACATCAGTACAGTCATAGCATTTGGGCTTTACTTGCTGTGGAAAAATCAACCTGTTTCTAGATTTGATGAGTCTATATTATTAGAGCAATCTCTTGTTCAGATTAATGAGGGACATTTTTGACAAGGATAACATCTCAACATACCCTGTTCATTCTATCTATGTCTCTCTTAATATCCCCTCCTTCCTCTCCACCTCTAAATCCCTCCATCCTGCCCTGGCTCTTCGCTCACAGAGGTCCCCAGGAACGATACATGCTCTGAGCTGCCAGAGATCACCAACGGCTGGAAGAGCACCTCCCACCCGGACCTGATTCACGGGACAGTGGTCACCTACCAGTGTTACCCAGGTTACGAGGTGCAGGGCTCGGAGATCCTAATGTGCCAGTGGGACCTGATGTGGAGCGGAGATGTGCCCAGCTGTGAGAAAGGTGAGCTGGGAAATAAGATGCTCCCAGAGTGGAACTAACCATGATTCTCTGCCTGCTTACAAACAATAGCCTTTAGAAGATAAGAGACAGGATTGTACCAGTAGGTCTAATTATTTTCTGTTTAGTATTTTTTAATCTCATTTGGATAGACAACAGACCAGAGACAATTGGGTCAAACAGAGATAGTAAAAGCCTGGATTCAACGAGTTCCTAGAATAACTGTTCATGCAAGTCAGAGTCACTTTTACACCCTGCTGGTCACTGCTGCTTTGAGTGACTTCTGAGCAAAATGGTGTCACAAGTGTCATGTTGTATCAGTCTGCTGTGTTAAAGCAGCAAACCTGCAGCCATCATCTAGAAACACAGTAGTACATACATAACCCCATTTCTGCATTAAATAGCTTAGTAATAGCATTACCTGGATAATCTCCAGATTAGATATCAACACTTCCTACAAATGATAAACTGTGTTATCAAACCCAGAGCAAAATGCAATGTCAGGCTACACATTTGTTGTATCACATGGCATTACAGCCACTGCTACACCAAAGCAATAGTCATGCCACATCTAATCAGACATTTTAAGTGAGAACATAATTTTATTAATGGAATTATTTAAAGCACTAGTGTGAATTTAATTGCTGTCTGAAATCTGTTGCTGAAGTGTGGGTCTACTGAGCAACATAAAACTCAAATGGTTTAACTGCCACCTGCAGGTGAGAGAACATGTTGCATACAGCTCATCAAGACTTGAATGAGATCTGAAAATGTCATCACACTAGGGTTCATAGCCACTGGAATTAGTTTGGGGGGGGGGGGGATAAGCTTTTGCCTGCGCTATATTGGTCCGCTAATACAGGACTATTAAAGGTCCAGTGCACTACTTTTCTGATATTTATTTTACTTTATTTTTTCTTCTTCTGGTTTTTCAGGGGGTGCTGCAGCACGCACAGCACCCCTACTTCCCAGGGCTATGATAGGGTTGAATATTTTCCCAGTATTTTACAAATGTTTCATCCCGAGAATAAATCACTTTTCTCCCAGTAACCTGGTATTTCCCACCAAAACTGGAAGTTTCATTCAAAAGCATTAGAAAGTATATAAATATGTCTGGATTTGATTAGAGCTTTGATCAGCATGACAATTCTAACCTGATGCTACCTGAGCCTGATGAGCCATTTATTAAATACATTTTATGAGCCCTACATTAACGACATTTAACGAGCCCAAGCCCAAAAAAGCCCAAATGATTGTGCCATTATCCAACACATATATGATATAGGCTACTGCACATTATGCACAACAGAAAAACATAAAAGCCCATAGATGTAGCTAGCTATATGCTCTCTTGGGTAAATAAATGAAAGCAGAAGAGAACATGCGTTTCTGGTGCACCACATGCGGCCTACAAAGTTACAAGTATAGGCTAGCAAATTTGATTCAATTTATTTAATACAATAACGCCTATTTGTATAATTAGTAGGCTGACGCATATATATACCTTTCATAATATTTCCCCTAATGTTATTAGCCTACCTCCTCTTTCTCTCTCTATTGTTGCTTCATTCATTCCTCGCTTTCAACAGCTAAATGAAATACGTTTTGTTGTCCTTATCTTCATCATTCTAATGATATCCTTGAATAACATAGGAGTAGAATTAGATACAGAAGGCTTTCACTTCTCTTCATGAAGATTGAATGGTTATGGGTCTGAATAAAGAACTGCTATAGCCTACCGCCATCACGCGTTCAAACTACCTGTGAGTTCTATTCGGCTGCTGTATTTAACATTCAGCAAAAAGAGCTTGAGTCCCTCTTCGAATAGTCTATTGCTATAAGAAATGCACACAACAACAAAAAAGTCCAGCATCTATTCTAGTCTAGCTTTCCCTGCATGGGACTCCAAGAGCTAATGAGCGTTTTTAAGGAGAGGCCAGCGGGGCATAGGTGCTTGCAGTCGGATAAACACTCCAAACAGCCTACCCGACCGCTCGGAAGCGTCCACATGGTCCTAAAGCACACCGTTGCCTCGATTTGTATCACATTCCAATGATAAAACTGGAGGGGACACAAATGCAATTTCAGTGAAAGTTGCACTGCTGGGTGCTTGCATATTGTGCAAGAGACAGATGCTATAATTTAGAAGCTTATTATACATACCCCATAATTAATTAGCTAAATATTAGGCTAATACTGCATTGAATGTATTACCTGAAAGAGGTAGGCTAGGACATCTATATATAGGCCTATATATCAATCTAGAACAGGATTATCTATTTTGGATGCAATTTGAATGGAGTTGATGGAGAGAAAGAAAGACTGAAAGAGTGCTCACGCATGCACTGATTTAAAGCAACGATATTCGAGTGACAGGCTGTTTGAAAACTCTGCAGCTGCAATAAAAAATAAAAAAAACATATCTTTACAATTAAAAAATAAGGTGACCCCCGAAAGCCAGATGGAAATAGGTAAATTAGACGCGCATTCAGTCTTTATATTACTGTAGCATAGACTATGCTGCAGCAAATGCAGGCCTACCTGTTACAAGAAAAAAAGTTACCATGATGAGATGATAGGTCTACATGCATTAAGAACTGCACTTCATACTGAGATGGGCTGTCTGTCCCCACCCTGAGCGTTGATGATTCATCATGCAGAGGCCATAGAGAAGTCAGATTTAGACATCGCATATAATTTAAAAGTTAAATTTCACGCCATGCTGTTCATATAAATAATGTATTATATTTACCGGTTTCTCATAGTTATTTATCCCGGGAAAAGGGAGTGGTTTTGGGCAGTAAATCCCAGTAAATCTTGGTAATTGGGTTCCCGCCATTCAACCCTACATCATACTAAGGAATATTAAAATGTTATTTTATATTTAAATACAGTCAATTACAGATGAAAACCACAGTTAAAAGAACCACCGTTTTTTATGGGGTCCTTCTTGTTTTGTAGCACATTTCAACCCCATCCTCCAGTGTGTAATTACTGGTAGCAGTCAGAGGGAGCCATGTTCTTGGTCTCTGTGTGTTTAGTGACATCGATCCATCTGCACATCTCTGATTCATATGTTACAGGCCACGGCAGATCCAGTGCTTTTCTCTGTGTGTGGAGGTCCCCTGGGCTGTGGACTGCTATGCCTGGATAGCTTCAATATCCAGCCCTGTTCTTTTTAATGACCTAGATAGATGGCTGACATTGGATTAGAAGGCTCTGGGTGTCATCTACTGGGTTATTGTATGAGAATGGGCCTTTATTGAGGGAATCACTGAGGATAAGATGTGGTGTGACTTGACTAATAATGATGATCGTGAATGTACTGTATGGTAGTGGTTATGCATTGGAGTGGTTATCAATTTGCCTGTGTTTTCCGCCTGTGTGTGTGTGTGTCTGTGTGTGGTGATCAGTGATGACGTGTCCGGACCCGGGGAACGTGGAGCACAGTCGGAGGGTGTTGACGGGATCACGCTTCATGGTGGGATCGACGGTGCAGTATGTGTGTAATAAGGGATACTCCCTGTCTGGAAGCACACTGCTCACCTGCTACAACAGAGACACAGCCAACCCCAAGTGGAGCGAGAGGCTGCCCAAGTGTAACCGTAAGTCAGGAAACTGTATCTGAGCAAATACACACGCAAACATACACACACACACACAGTGTTGTTTATTTTATTCAACCAGGATAGTCGTCCTCCTCTCTAACAATCGGCACTATTTTTCAATAGTCCACAGTATGTCACGATCGTTCATTAACGAGAAGGACCAAGGCGCAGCGTGATATGTATTCATATTTATTCACGTACTGAACACACGACAAAACAACAAACGAAACGTGAAGTCCAAGGTAGCACACAAACAACATACCTTACACGGAACAAGATCCCACAACAAACAGGTGCCAACAAGCTGCCTAAGTATGGTCCCCAATCAGAGACAACGAGCTACAGCTGCCTCTGATTGGGAACCACCCTGGCCAACATCGATCTAAACGATCTAGAACTAAACATAGAAAAACACAACATAACACGGAATATACACACCCTGACTCAACAAATAAACGTCCCCTGAGTCAGGGCGTGACAGTACCCCCCCCCCCCCCCCCAAAGGTGCGGACTCCGACCGCGCCATATAAACATAACAGGGTAGGGGCCGGGTGGGCATTCCGCCTCGGAGGCGGATCCGGCTCCGGGCGTGACCACCACTTTCTCTCCACCTCCCTGTTGCGCCCCTGGTCTGGTCTGGCACCGCTGACTGGAGCTGGACCCGACAACGGTGGATCGAACTGTACAGGCTCCGGACTGGAGCCGCTGACCGGAGCTGGACTGGGCACCGGTGGAGCGGACTTCTCTGGCTCCGGAGTGGAGCGGCTGACCGGAGCTGGACTGGATCCCGGTGGAGCGGATTGCTCCGGAGTGGATCCGCTGACTGGAGTTGGACCGGACCCCGGTGGAGCGGATTGCTCTGGCTCCGGAGTGGAAAAAAGGCACGGGCCGTGCCAGACTGGACACATGCACCACTGGCTTGGTGCGGGGAGCAGGAACGGGCCGGACCGGGCTGACGACGCGCACCACTGGCCTGGTGCGGGGAGCAGGAACGGGCCGGACCGGGCTGACGATGCGCACCACTGGCTTGGTGCGGGGAGCAGGAACGGGCCGGACCGGGCTGACGACGCGCACCACTGGCTTGGTGCGGGGAGCAGGAACGGGCCGGACCGGACTGACGACGCGCACCACTGGCTTGGTGCGGGAAACAGGAACGGGCCGGACCGGGCTGACGACGCGCACCACTGGCTTGGTGCGGGGAGCAGGAACGGGCCGGACCGGGCTGACGACGCGCACCACTGGCTTGGTGCGAGGGACAGGAACAGGCCGGGCAGGACTGGGAACACGCACCACTGGCTTGGTGCGGGGAGCAGGAACGGGCCAGGCCGGACTGGGAACACGCACCACTGGCTTGGTGCGGGGAGCCGGAACGGGCCGGGCCGGACTGTGGAGGCGGACTGGAGGTCTGGAGCGGAGAGCTGACACAACCCGTCCTGGCTGAATGCCTACTTCCACACAATATGTGTGAGGCATCAGCACAGGACGTACAGGACTGTGCACTCGTACTGGCGATACAGCACGTAGCCCCGGCGCAGGATATACGGGACCGAGGAGGCGTACTGGAGACCACGAGCGTTGAGCCGGCACACCCCGTCCTGGCTGAATGCCCATCTTCGCACGACACGTGCGTGGTGCTAGCACAGGACGTACAGGACTGTGCCGGAACACTCGCAGCACAGTACGTGGCTCCGCATAACACGGAGCCTGCCCAGTCACACGCTTCCTAGCATGAGTACAGGGAGTTGGCTCTGCTCTAACACTAGGCTCCGCCAACCACCCTTTTAGCCCCCCCCAACATTTTCTTGGGGCTGTCTCTCGGGCTTCCTCCTCGGCCGGCACCTTCTGCGTTGCCGCTGCTCCTCTCTATAGCGCGCCTCCACAGTCTCCTCCCAAGGACGGCGATCCATTCCGGCCTGAATCTCCTCCCAAGTCCAGGATCCCTTCCCGTCCAGGATCTCCTCCCAGGTCCAGGCTGTCTGTTCCTGGACACGCTGCTTGGTCCTCATTTGGTGGGATCTTCTGTCACGATCGTTCATTAACGAGAAGGACCAAGGCGCAGCGTGATATGTATTCATATTTATTCACGTACTGAACACACCACAAAACAATAAACGAAACGTGAAGTCCAAGGTAGCACACAAACAACATACCTTACACGGAACAAGATCCCACAACAAACAGGTGCCAACAAGCTGCCTAAGTATGGTCCCCAATCAGAGACAACGAGCTACAGCTGCCTCTGATTGGGAACCACCCTGGCCAACATAGATCTAAACGATCTAGAACTAAACATAGAAAAACACAACATAACACGGAATATACACACCCTGACTCAACAAATAAACGTCCCCTGAGTCAGGGCGTGACACAGTATTCCTTTAGATAATATATTGTGGATGTTCTTAGTACATTCAGCAAAGTTGTAACCTGAGAGGACGTGCTGATTTCTTTCACGCAACCTCCAGAAGCCCTCCAAAAGCATTGATGACCTGTCATCCTGGCCTTCTCGCTCCCTGCCTCAGATAAAAGGAACTTTTGGATGAAAATTAAACAGAGTATTTTTTTCTTTCAACCGGAGAGCAGGTGCAGAATCAATATGGCCTATGTAATAAGAGCTGGCCCTGCTGTTCAAACAGAGTGGTGATAAGACAGTCTCTTCATTGTTTCAAAGTAATTATACAGGCTGGAAACTGTCCCAGGTAACTTACAATGGGGAAATGAGCTGAGGGACTGACACTGGTTGTCAGGTCAGGAACTATCTGCACAGTGTGATAGTGCCTATTGATAGCCACATCTGCCTGTGTCAAACATCATTACTTTTGCATAGAGGGAAAACACAATGTGAGGCAGCGGCCTTATGTAAGTGGTGGCAGAATGTGTATCTATGTTGGAAATGATGCATGTGATAATGGCACTCTGCTGTCTAAGAGACATTGAAACACCCATAGTGACAGCCATGGTGTGTGTGTGTGTGTGTGTGTGTGTGTGTGTGTGTGTGTGTGTGTGTGTGTGTGTGTGTGTGTGTGTGTGTGTGTGTCCTGGCAGCGGAGAGGTACGAGCCCTGCAGGAACCCTGGCGCCCCGTCCACCAGCGTGCAGAGCTTAGAGAAGGCTTTCTACCAGGCCGGGGAGACCCTGAGCTTCACCTGTCATACCGGCTATGAGATGCAGGGGGAGCCCACCATCCGCTGTGTCCCTGGACACCCGTCACAGTGGAGCGGCACACCACCCGCCTGTAGCGGTACATTGTCTGCTTTCATAGCACACATATGCCTCAACTTAGAATAACTTATGATGGCCAGTTCTATGATGTGTAAAAATATCAGGGTACTCATGATTTTTTATTTTTTTTCCCGGCAGCCTCTTCTCAGTATTTGAACGAGCGCAAGTTGGATGGTAAGTATATCAGCTAGTTGTAACCACAGTGTGAAGTATGGTGATGCCAATAGAAGATATATTTATGCTGTACTTGTTTTTCGGTCATTTCTAGTTATGCATATTCTATGTTTTTATTCAGTTGCTAGTCCTGGCTACAGTATGGAAGGAACCAACATTGTCATTGCTGTTCTGATTCCTGCTGCGGTTGTATTGGTAGTCATCCTAGGGATTTATCTCTACTTTGCAAAGTGAGTATGAGAATGAAAGAAGGGGAAGTAACTGCATAACACCCATCAATTGCTAACATGTGTAATTCAGTTGAAGGCCTCAGAGCAGTCTAGAGGCTCTGTTCAATAGAGTGTCTTTGTGTCTCGTTGTCCCTCAGACTTCAGGGGAAGACCATCAGAATGCCAACATCATCCTTGCCGCCGTATGACAACATGACAGAGGAGTCTGCCTTTAATAACCCAATCTATGAGACAGGAGTAAGTATGGATGTCATGCACATGAATCTCCGAGACGTGGACTCCCAGAACACCATAGTCCTGTCCTGATCCATCTCATCGTCATCTGTCTGCCTGTCATTGCATGTTTTACCAGCAGAGGGCACTCTTCACACCATCTCCCACCACGGCCACAGAGGTCTGAGCTGTGCCTAAATTTGTGGTCTTGTGTTGAATGCAGACAAGCGCCTACAAATTCTCTCTCTCTCACCTTTGAAGCGTGGAAGCTCTACAGTCTACTTCGCTTCGAAGCTTTATAAAAATATGTGTTTTTGCATGAGTATCACATCCATTTTCAGTGGATCAATAGGACTGTACAAGTACTCAATCAGTGGACTGGATAAGGGACAGATGTAGTGCACTACACATTTCCATTTTTCCATTTCACGTTTCCATTTGTGATGACCTCTGTAGGATCCATTTTCAACTTGGCACAGTGCTTCTGTTCTGACTATGTTTCTGGATAGATGATGAATGTAATATTTTACTGAACAGAGGTGAAAAAGCTTGAACAAAAATGCTTAATGTCAACTTCAAAGACACTTTAAAGCTCCTCCATCATTGTGTCATTATCATGTCATTCACATGTGATTGAGTTGTGCAGTCATTGAGTCTTATCCATTAATCAGTTTGAATTGCTTTTAAAATGTGTACATTTATGGACCCTATCATGGGCGCAATTTTGGTTTTAGAGGTGGAGGGGACATTATTATTATTATTATATAGATTTTTTTTTTATCCAGTCGGATAAACACTCCAAACAGCCTACCCGACCACTCGAAGGCGTCCGCATGGTCCTAAAGCACATCGTTGCCTCGTTTTGTATCACAAATGGGGGGGGGACAAAAATGCAATTTCAGAATGTGGGGGGGACATGTCACCCCTGTCCCCAGTGAAAGTTGCGCCACCTGGACCCTATTATAAATTATTGTTATTGAATCACATAGGCTATAACAAATGTCAATGTGCAATAATAGACAGTATTTAAATCTACACTCATCTACACTTAGTATTGACATTACTTTTATGTGCTCCACACAACATTTCAGAGCACTTAAAATAACAACCAAAAACCCTTGGATTTGACATTGAGCTTGTCAGGAATTCTTGTACTTGTCTTACATATTCCTTTGTCCATAAGTCCTTCATATCTACATCATTTTGTGTACAAATATATCAGTTACATGTATTTGTCAGGGCAGTTAAATGTATTTGTTTTATTTAATGTGAGTGTTGGATTTGTTTGATTGTTCAAGAAACATAATGCCGCCATGTCTATTATTGTGTTGTGTTAAACTATTCATAATCTCTGTTACAAATGTTAGTGATGCATGTAATTATCCTAAACTACAGCAACTTTGTGCTTGATAAACCATCTGACTTGATTCATGCCCTTGATTCAAAATATTTTGTGGGGGGAATGTCCTATTAGTCACTGTGCTGTGTGACTTGAGCGGATACTATCTCTCTCATTCTTTACTTCCATGTTCTGGACTCCATTTTGACTGGACCATACTCTCCTCCTCCTCCACCTCTTCTTCCCATCAGCCCCGGCAGGCATTCTGTGATTACTAATGACTGTGTCTGTCTGTCCCTCCTCGGCTGCCTGAAGAAGAACAACGAGGTAAGGCCTTCTTCTGATGCCGACTGTCCATCTTAAAGGGCACACCTAAACTACACCTCAACCACTGTCATCTGTCACTGCATCCACTTCCAGCCAGCTGTCCACTGTACCGAACTGGTGTCAACACTTCAGTCAGCACCTTGTGGGGTTAGTGGGTTTCTCACCACATAGCTCCCTGACCCTCACTTCATCGCTCCTTCTCTCTCTTTCTCTCTTTCTCTCTCTCTCGCTCTCTCTTTCTCTCTTTAATAGGTACTGTTAACTTCAATTGGAAAAGAAAATACCTATATATAACATCTCACTGTTGATAATGAAAGTAAAGTATGGGGTGTCAGTGAAATGTGAAGCTTAAATATACTACATTATTGTTGTTGCACTGATGTCCTGTCTTTTTCATGTTCTCGCACTCTCTTGTCAATCAGTTTGAAACAATATTAAAGAATTTTTGTTCTGATCATGTTGTTTCTACTTTTTATTTCTACACGATTTGCATGATTCAGTTCTTTCCATTGACCATATTCTGTCACATTTTCATAATTCACCTTTTAACTTCAATGACTGCGGAACTGCAGTGTTATTATGACACAGAGTTAGAGCTTTTGGCCGCTAAGAACCTTTGATGAGTGTGTTTGTCTGGTCTTTACAGGACAAAGGAGATTATGAGGTGACCATTTAAAGACATTACCGCAAGGGGAATTCAAGGGTTGCTTTTAGGGACCCTCTCTGCACCTCTCATCTTTCCTGCAATGACTTCAGCTCCCATTCCTCCCTCCTCCCCCTTTCTCTTCATTCACTCCTTTTTGTGGGCTTTTGTAAATATCTGTCTTTCCAGAGGACTTCTACCAAAACTGCAAAGGTGGTGGATCAACATGGTGTTATTTTTGTAGAGCTTTGACGCAGATGGCCTTTCTTTAGTGTTTGTACATTTTCATTTAATAACTGAGCCCAGGACTGGTAACCTTATGGGGGGGATACATTTAGTTTAATTGGTTTAGGTTTTAAGCTTTACATGAGAAATGTGAAGAACGAATGTACGGTTTATGAGTTGGCAAAGGTCTTGAAATATACAGTATACATGAAAAATACATAATGACCCAAAGTTGTTTGAACATTGTCCAAATATCAATTTCACAAGTGAATATTTGTATTTTTAAATGTTGATACTATAATTCAACCACCCAGGCTATACATGGGCTTTCAGTATCACTTTGTAAATAAATTGCCTGTCTAATATGGGGGTGTCTGCGACTTGAGGAACCAAATTAGGGTTTTGTTCAATTTGACTCACAGTTTTGTTTCCTGTGCTAAAACAACTATAAATACACATTTAATGTATAGCCCACAGTGTTAAGCTCTCCCTCATAGCTTCTATAGAGTTGGTGAATACTCCACTATCTCCTTGATTAAATTAATGTCAAATCCCAACAGCTTTCTCTTGTCATGCCATCTGCATTGAGAGTACTTTTTTTTACATTTTAGTCATTTAGCAGACACTCTTATCCAGAGCGACTTACAGTTAGTGAGTGCATACATTTTTTTTTAAATACTGGCCCCCCGTGGGAATCGAACCCACAACCCTGCCGTTGCAAGCGCCATGCTCTACCAACTGAGCTACACGGGGCCCAGTATGAGTATGCATCAATTCAATGAAAGGAGGCCATGAAGATAATATGCCATCTTCTACAAAGTGCTGTTCTGTAAAGTGCACCATCTTCATGTACATAGGAATGCTCATGGGCCACCCCCTGTTCATTGCTTTCATTAGTTTCTGATTTCCACACAAGAAAATGCACTGCTTAAAGGTACAAAATACAGAAATCGTTCTGTCATTTCCTGGTTGTTAAAATTCTAATAGTTAGCCTAATTTCAGTTTATGTGACAAAACAAGTGATCTAGAGTGTAGAGAAACATTGTACCATCTAAACTGCTGTGAAATATATTTTCAATTGTATTTTCAGCTGTTTGAAGCTGGTGTACAAAATCGAAAGTAAAAGATGTGAAAACGAAACTTAAAAACGGGAAGCATAGAAATAGCGCACATCTACCGCTTCTTAGATTTGCTTTCAATGAGAAGGACAGCTCTATAACTCACATTTCTATGTGAATTTGGTCGACCAAAAAGTTACATACTGCAGCGTTAAAGTCTTGAATTCTAAACACAACACTTGCTGACATCAAAGAACATGTCAGATATTCAAACCTTGTGTACTTTTCTTTTCTTCTCTTTGTAAAATAAAAAATCTATTCCAGTCCAATCTGAGTTTGCAAAGTCACAAAAGGTTTTATTTTGATTGTTTATCTTTGTTGTTGTCTCTATAAATGTTAAATGTACTCACTTCTTTGGTATCATTATGTACAGTCTCTTTGATCATAAAGTGGGGTCCGAAATGATTGACACCCTTGACAAAGATTAGCAAAAATGACTGTATAAAATATCTAATTCAAATATTGAGCTATTGTATGCAACAACAACAAAAAATTGGGAAATTATATTAGTTTATACTAACACAATTGCTCAGAGAAAGAGATTATTATTTTTATTTTTTATTCCTCAAAAAGGTAGGGGTCAAAATTATTGACTCCCCTGTTTTCAATAACTTTCAATACCTAATGGCACTGAGCTTTTTTCTAAAATGTTTTATGAGTTGGAGAACACATTGGGAGGGATCTTAAATCATTCCTTCAGACAGAATCCTTCCAGATCCTTGATATTTATTGCACAGATGCTCATGGACTGCCCTCTTCAAATTTAAACCACAGCTTGTAGTCCTAAAAAACGGAAATTAGTTAGCATTTTCCAATCAACATTTTGCAATGGCCATCTCAGTCTACAGAACGGACTTGAAACCCATTGAAAACCTGTGGTTTGTATTGAAGGGGCCAGTCCATAAGCGCAGACTAAGGATATCAAGGATCTGGAAGGATTCTGCATGGAGGATGGGTCTAAGATCCCTCCCAATGTGTTCTCCAACTTGTAAAATATTTAAGAAAAAGGCTGTGTCGTTATCCTTGCAAGGTGAGGTATTGAAAACAGGGGTCTTAATAATTTTGACCCCTACCTTTTTGAGATAAAAACTATTGTATTACTCTGTGCAATTATATTAGTATAGAATAATATAATGTCCCTTTTTTTGCATACAACTTAGCTCAGTATTGTAATTATTTATTTTATACAGTCATTTTTGCTCATCTTTATCAAGGGTGTCAATTATTCCGGACCCCACTGTATAGTACAAAACAATAATTGCCCAGCAATTGTAAATTCAGAGTAAGTTGTAAGGTGGGTGTATATTTTATTACTCCAAATCTGAATAAAAAGTACTGCATTACTGTGAAATATTCCCAGAGAGTCAGGTTGTTTAAAAAATATTTAGAGAATTGCAAGAAATTAAGAACCTTTTTCTGACACAGAACAGTAATATCCTGCTGAAATGCGCATTGATTGTCCAAAATAAATGTGAAATGCACCTTTACATGAGTGAATCAGTCAATTGTCTTTGGGTATGTTAAAGAGAAGAATAAAACAAATAAAGTTGGCAAGATATCTATTTACCTATGTGTTTCTCTTTCATTTCTTGTGAATTGGCTGTGATAAAAACCATGATATGAAATACCAATCAATTTCATAAATAAGTTATCCACTGTTTTTCACTCTGACACAGACATTTTTAAATAAAGCGGAATATTATTGTGGGTGCCACACATTTTCCTTTGAGTGGGTTGCCATTATGCATTTAATCTCAGTTTGCAGTTTTCACAACTTTATTTATGCGCTCACACACTGCCTAATCCATCCCCAGGAAACCATCTTTATGCATGCATTTCCTTAGGGAGTGATTTGGATTGATTAATATACCAGGTAAGGTGAGTAAACTAACGCTATTAGGGCTGCCCATATTCAGATTTCTCTCTGTGACTTTGAGTGAATAGAGGTAAGGAAAATACATTTAGGAAGATTGTTGGGACAGGTTATTGAATGTAGGCCTTTATGGAAATTATAATTTTCACAAATTTAAATAAATCCTCATAAATATAATTGGTCCATTTCTAATTTATTCCATGATTTCCCTTAATTAAAATTGAAAAGGGCAACACCTTGATGATGATTCCTAGGAATAGTCAATAGGACGATTGACTGGAATTTGTCTTGGGCCAAGGCTACCCCCTGGTCGGAAGGACAAATAGAAGGATGCAGATTTACCATTGGAACAAGGGAACGAGTAGTCGTTTGTTTTCTGGCCAGTTACAGTTACCAAAGGCAATACGCTTGCAATCGGTGTTCACCCTAACAGAACAACCAAATTCCTGATATGGTTTATGACAACTATTTCCACGGATGACAATATTTATATTATTTTCTAGGTTATCGTGCTCTTTGTACCCAAAGCTCAAACTGTTATCCGAAACGCCCATTTTTGCCTCTACCAAGATGAGAGCGCGGTTGTAGAGCGCATGCTCAAAACGTCCTACGTAAATTTGCGCCAACTCCATGGTGAGGCTGAAGGAAGCAGTATCAGGGGTGATGCTTAGCTAGCTAGCATTTCTTCATAACAACAATAACCATTTAGCTAGCTATAGTTTCGGCGCTATTTCCCCCCCATATACAAGGACAATACTTCATCTATTTGCAAGTATATGTCAGGTATGTGAGATATAGTTGTAAGAGTGTGTTATTTTATAGCCTTATTTAATATGGAAGGGAACAGATATGCCTCTGCCTCTATAAACAGCATCATAGCTAACGTTAGCTTCAACCACAGGCGTAGGGACAAGCACCACCATGTACAAAGCTAGGCCTCAATAGTAAGTCCAAAAGCCGAATATCTGTAGTATTCTACCTTATCTTTTCTCCAATTTGGCAACAAGAGGAATACTTTTTTGTATTTTTGCATTACACGGTTGGGACAACGAAGCAGCATATAAACTATTAAGGATAACCAAGCTAGCTAGCTAAGGATTTCATGAAGAAAATACTCTTCGTCTTTGAACTGAAGGGAGGCGTTAGATTGGCCCTTCCTGGGAAACAACATTGTGTTCACCATTAGCTAATAATTAGCAAACTAACCAATAGGAACTTGTTTTTTTTCAAGACAGTGTTGTTTTAGGAAATATCGCCTCTTGTCAGACATTGCTTGAAGTATTCGTTAAACAGAGCTGATTGCTTGCTCACTTCGGCTGTGTTTGAATGTGGGATAAAATGGAGACCCCAACGATTGTCTACGATCTTGACACTTCTGGTGGTCTTATGCAGGTAAAGCCTTTACTGTTACATTTTTAGTCATTTAGCAGACGCTCTTATCCAGAGCGACTTACATGAGCAATTAGGGTTAACTGCCTTACTATCATGATGAGAAAATACACGTTTTCTGTTCTCTTTTTTGTTTCTAGTAGAAGCTTGCTAGGTAGCTCACTAGTTGGTTAGGGCCCAGTGGCAGTGCAACGTTTGTAGCTAGCTCTCTAGCTAACTCTGCAGGACGCCATTGCTCTCTCTAGCTAACCTCTGCCAGAAGTCATGTCACCAAAAAATATCAAGTCAAACCATTGACAGAAAGTGTTACATTGTAACTAGCTCATTACATTTGGTTTGTTGTTGTGTGGCAGACTTGACACTACAGTAGATACTGTGCAACAATGTAGATAATCAGATGTATCCCTGTACTCGTTTGCTGATACTTTGTAGCAAATCCAAGCATTGCTCGCACCTCCCAAGTCTGAAGATGGAGAAAAAAGAAGTCGGAAACCAGATAAAAACGCACGGAGAGCAGGGAGAGCCACGAATCACGACACCTGTGACAGTTGCAGAGAGGGAGGCGACCTCCTCTGTTGTGATCATTGTCCCGCCGCCTTTCATCTACAGTGCTGGTATGTTTATGATTAATATCTTTCCATTTACAGTAATGACTTCCCGGTGTTGCTACCAATGTGCAAGGTAGCATTTGTGGTATACTTTTTGGGTAGCAGTTGACTACTGACAGACCAAACTCCTGCTAACTATTGTCAGCTAATCTAATGCACAGTCTTTGCCACATTGTGGCGCTGTAGCTCAGTTTTTCTACATGGCGAGACTTTCTTATTCTGACACCCTATTGGTTAGGTCTACATGTTAAAACTCTGTAGCATTGTACTTGTATATAACAACTGTAGCTTGTGTTGTTGACCATTTTCTCTGCAGATAACATGTCTGCACTAAATTCTGCACGTAGCAACTGCCATGTTTCAGCTTCTTAGCCATGTTTCTCTAAAGTCAAGGATGACATATTTTTGGCATGCGTTTAGCTAATTCTCTAGTCCACACACCACTTACTCCTCTCCTAACAGCCATTTCCAGTATTTAATGAGCTTGCAGATGTTGGCGAGGTTTAGTCAAGCTTTCTACTGAGGCAGTGAGGAGCTCAGGGAACCTGGCTGTGCAGCCACATTGACGGCATGAATAATCATTAACCATGGTATTTTAAAGGCAGGGGCCTTTCTACTCATAGCCTGGACTATAGTATGGGATTTTTGCCAATGAGTTGGGCAGAGTTTATTTTTTTAATTGTTTTGCTTCTAGGACAGTGTTATCAACGCCCTTTGACTGTTGCCACAACGGTTTCATAGAGCATGAAAGGTTTTTGCTGAGGAAAGTGAATTGTTTATTTATTCTGATAGTGCTCCTCTTTTTGCATCACTGCAGTCTTTCTTGGAAAGCTTGAATGAATCGATGTTGGTTTTGGACCAACAGCCTTTTCAATAGATTCAGCACCCACCTTTGCCACAGAACTGTGAGACTATGCCCAGGGGCCTTGGCACTCTGCCCAAAAAGAGCCCTTTGAATTCATTCCCTCTCACCTGGCTTTCATCAGCTACAGGTCTAGCATTTCCACAGTTATTTCAATGTAGGAAAATGGCCTTAAACGCCATACCTCTGGAACTTGTAAACCAGGTTACATTGTGAGGGCATTGGACGTTATCAATTGCTGATTTGCATTGAACTCCCTTGCCAGCTTTTTTGCTAATGCTTGTGTTGAACCTGCAGCAACCCACCCCTGAGTAAGGAGATGCTGCCCCCTGGAGACTGGATGTGTCATCGCTGCATGGTGCGCAGGAAGGTGAGTCAAGTCTCTGATAAAACATGGGAGGAATAACCTTTTGTTTGTGAAGTGTTATGATGACAGCTTCATTTATCTGGATAAGTGACCTACTTTTTGTGTGTATGTACTGATATGTACACTACATGACCAAATATGGAGTTGTTCCCCCCTTTGCTGCTGTAACAGCCTCTACTCTTCTGGGAAGGCTTTTCACTAGATGTTGGAACATTGCTGCAGGGACTTGCTTCCATTCAGCCACGAGCATAAGTGAGGTTGGGCACTGATGCTGGGCGATTAGGCCTGGTTCGCAGTCGGCGTTCCAATTAATCCCAAAGGTGTTCGATGGGGTTGAGGTCAGGGCTCTGTGCAGTCCAGTCATGTTCTTCCACACCGATCTCTAAAAAAAAAAACAATTTCTGTATGGACCTCGCTTTGTGCACAGGGGCATTGTCATGCTGAAACAGGAAAAGGCGTTCCCCAAACTGTTGCCAAGAAGTTGGAAGCACATAATCGTCTAGAATGTCATTATATGCTGTAGCATTAAGATTTCCCTTCACTGGAACTAAGGGGCCTAGCCCAAACAATGGAAAAACAACACCAGACCATTATTGCTCTTCCACCAAACTTTACAGTTGGCATTATGCATTCGGGCAGGTAGCGTTCTCCTGGCATCCGCCAAACCCAGATTTGTCCGTCGGACTGCCAGATGGTGAAGCGTGATTCATCACTCCAAAGAACGTGTTTCCACTGTTCCAGAGTCCAATGGCGGTGAGCTTTACACCACTCCAGCCGACGATTGGCATTGTGCATGGTGATCTTAGGCTTGTGTGCGGCTACTCGGCCATGGAAACCCATTTCATGAGGCTCCCGACGAACAGTTCTTGTGCTGACGTTGCTTCGAGAGGCAGTTTGGAACTCTGTAGTGAGTGTTGCAACTGAGGACAGATTATTTTTACACGCTACACGCTTCAGCACTCGGCAGTCCTGTTCTCTGAGCTTGTGTGGCCTACCACTTTGCGGCTGAGCTGTTGTTGCTCCTAGACGTTTCCACTTCACAATAACAGCACTTACAGTTGACCGGGGCAGCTCTAGCATGGCAGACATTTTACGAACTGACTTATTGGAAAGGTGGCATCCTGTGACGGTGCCACGTTGAAAGTCACAGCTCTTCAGTATGGGCCATTCTACTGCTAATGTTTGTCTATGGAGATTGCATGGCTGTGTGCTCGACTTTATACACCTGTCAGCAACTGGTGTGGCTGAAATAGCTAAATCCACTAATTTGAAGGGGTGTCCACATACTTTTGTATATATAGTGTATGTGGAACTGTTAGACGAGCACACATGTTAATATTTTTTAATTTATATAAATTGTAAAGTCTTGTCTGTAATGTCTTTTTCGTTATACGTCAGACCCTAGTAAGACTAGCTGTCGCCATTGGCGTCGGCTAATGGAGATCCTAATAAAAATCAAAAATAGTTTGGTGAGACTAGTGTAACCAGGGCTGTTCAGACTGTTAACATATTGTGTTTCTTGTGTCATAGAAGCGGGAGCTAAAGAAGGAGCAGATTAATGGTCTGCTGGAGCGCCAGTTGTCTAAGCAGTCTCCCTCCCCTGCAGCAGAGTTAGAGCTGGCCCCAGGCACCCTGAGGCTGGACCCCACGGCAGCAGTAGGAGGCACCACAGGCTTGAGGGCTGCAGCTGTGGCCCAGGTCCGTCTCCTGGAGAGGAGGCCCAGCAGCAGACCCAACACCCCCACCTCCACCGCCTCCACAGACACCGCCACGCCCTCGGAGCAGAATGACATGGATGATGACATGCTAGACGTGGAGGACGACTCCCAGGGCTCGGAGCCCGAGAGCTCCACCCCACACCTCAAGAGGCCCTTTGATCTTCTGATCGCTGCTGCCATGGAGAGGAACCCCACACAGTTCCAGCTCCCTAATGAGCTCACCTGCACAACTGCACTTCCAGGAACCAGTAAAAAAAGAAGGAGAGATGAGATGACAGGAAAGAATGTGAAGCGACCGCAGCATGAGCTGGACCACAATGGGCTGGTCCCACTACCAGTGAAGGTCTGCTATCCCTGTGGCAGGTACGGACAACAATGTTTTAATAACCAAATATCAGTGCCTTTCTTTTAACTAACTGGGATTTTTGGGCACCAGATGTTACATACATTACTAGGCTTTGAGAACAAATCCGTAAAGGAGATATGTTATCCAATTATATGCAGATCACACACTATTTCACAGCTGTTTACACTCATGAAAAAGGCATTGAAATAATTGCATGATTTACTATGAAAATGTACAATATACTAAGGTTGGACGTTATCAAGATTTTCATACATCATACCGTTTCTGTACCGTACAGGGGTATACGGTATTACTGGAAGTGCACACAAGGGGCGCTGTGTGTGTGATATATATATATATATATATACACTGCTCAAAAAAATAAAGGGAACACTAAAATAACACATCCTAGATCTGAATGAATGAAATAATCTTATTAAATACTTTTTTCTTTACATAGTTGAATGTGCTGACAACAAAATCACACAAAAATTATCAATGGAAATCAAATGTATCAACGCATGGAGGTCTGGATTTGGAGTCACCCTCAAAATTAAAGTGGAAAACCACACTACAGGCTGATCCAACTTTGATGTAATGTCCTTAAAACAAGTCAAAATGAGGCTCAGTAGTGTGTGTGGCCTCCACGTGCCTGTATGACCTCCCTACAATGCCTGGGCATGCTCCTGATGAGGTGGCGGATGGTCTCCTGAGGGATCTCCTCCCAGACCTGGACTAAAGCATCCGCCAACTCCTGGACAGTCTGTGGTGCAACGTGGCGTTGGTGGATGGAGCGAGACATGATGTCCCAGATGTGCTCAATTGGATTCAGGTCTGGGGAACGGGCGGGCCAGTCCATAGCATCAATGCCTTCCTCTTGGAGGAACTGCTGACACACCCCAGCCACATGAGGTCTAGCATTGTCTTGCATTAGGAGGAACCCAGGGCCAACCGCACCAGCATATGGTCTCACAAGGGGTCTGAGGATCTCATCTCGGTACCTAATGGCAGTCAGGCTACCTCTGGCGAGCACATGGAGGGCTGTGCGCCCCCCAAAGAAATGCCACCCCTCACCATGACTGACCCACCGCCAAACCGGTCATGCTGGAGGATGTTGCAGGCAGCAGAACGTTCTCCACGGCGTCTCCAGACTCTGTCACATGCTCAGTGTGAACCTGCTTTCATCTGTGAAGAGCACAGGGCGCCAGTGGCGAATTTGCCAATCTTGGTGTTCTCTGGCAAATGCCAAACGTCCTGCATGGTGTTGGGCTGTAAGCACAACCCCCACCTGTGGACATCGGGCCCTCATACCACCCTCATGGAGTCTGTTTCTGACCGTTTGAGCAGACACATGCACATTTGTGGCCTGCTGGAGGTCATTTTGCAGGGCTCTGGCAGTGCTCCCCCTGCTCCTCCTTGCACAAAGGCAGAGGTAGCAGTCCTGCTGCTGGGTTGTTGCCCTCCTACGGCCTCCTCCACGTCTCCTGATGTACTGGCCTGTCTCCTGGTAGCGCCTCCATGCTCTGGAACACTACGCTGACAGACACAGCAAACCTTCTTGCCACAGCTCGCATTGATGTGCCATCCTGGATGAGCTGCACTACCTGAGCCACTTGTGTCGGTTGTAGACTCTGTCTCATGCTACCACTAGAGTGAAAGCACCGCCAGCATTTAAAAGTGACCAAAACATCAGCCAGGAAGCATAGGAACTGAGAAGTGGTCTGTGGTCACCACATGCAAAACCAGTCCTTTATTGGGGGTGTTTTGCTAATTGCCTATAATTTCCGCCTGTTGTCTATTCCATTTGCACAACAGCATGTGAAATGTATTGTCAATCAGTGTTGCTTCCTAAGTGGACAGTTTGATTTCACAAAAGTGTGATTGACTTGGAGTTACATTGTGTTGTTTAAGTGTTCCCTTTATTTTTTTGAGCAGTGTATATATATACACCTACTCATTCAATGGTTTTTCTTTATTTTTACTATTTTCTACAGAATATATTGTAGAATAATAGTGAAGACATCAAACTATGAAATAACACATATGGAATCATGTAGTAACCAAAAAAGTGTTAAACAAATCAAAATATATTTTATATTTGAGATTCTTCAAATAGCCACCCTTTGCCTTGATGACAGCTTTGCACACTCTTGGCATTCTCTCAACCAGCTTCACCTGGAATGCATTTGCTACAGTATTGAAGGACTTCCCACATATGCTGAGCACTTGTTGGCTGCTTTCCCTTCACTCTGCCTTCTGACTCATCCCAAACCATCTCAATTGGGTTGAGGTCGGGGGATTGTGGAGGCCAGGTCATCTGATGCAGCACTCCATCACGCTCCTTCTTGGCAAAATAGCCCTTACACAGCCTGGAGGTTTGTTGGGTCATTGTCCTGTTGAAAAACAAATGATAGTCCCACTAAGCACAAACCAGATGGGATGGTGTATCGCTGCAGAATGCTGTGGTAGCCATGCTGGTTAAGTGTGCCTTGAATTCTAAATAAATCACAGACCGTGTCAGCAGCAAAGCACCCCCAGACCATAACACCTCCTCCTCCATGCTTTACGGTGGGAGCTACACATGCGGAGATCATTCGTTCACCCACACCATGTCTCACAAAGACACGGCGGTTGGAACCAAAAATCTCAAATTTGGACTCCCAAGGACACATTTCCACCGGCCTAATGTCCATTGCTCGTGTTTCTTGGCCCAAGCAGGTCTCTTCTTCTTATTGGTGTCCTTTAGTAGTGGTTTCTTTTCAGTGATTCGACCATGAAGGCCTGATTCACACAGTCCCCTCTGAACAGTTGATGTTTTTTTTGTTTTTTTTTGTCATTTAGCAGACGCTCTTATCCAGAGCGACTTACAGGAGCAATTAGGGTTAAGTGCCTTGCTCAAGGGCACATCGACAGATTTTTCACCTAGTTTGCTCGGGGATTAGAACCAGCGACCTTTCGGTTACTGGCACAACGCTCTTAACCTCTAAGCTACCTGCCGCGTTGAGATGTGTCTGTGACTTCAACTCTGTGAAGCATTTATCTGGGCTACAAGTTCTGAGGCTGGTAACTAATGAACTTATCCTCTGCAGCAGAGGTAACTCTGGGTCTTCCATTCCTGTGGCCGTCCTCATGAGAGCCAGTTTCATCATAGCGCTTGATGGTTTTTGCGACTTCACTTGAAGAAACTTTCAAAGTTCTTGAAATGTTCTGTATTGGCTGACCTTCATGTCTTTTAAAGTAATGATGGACTGTCGTTTCTCTTTGCATATTTGAGCTGTTATTGCCATAATATGGACTTGGTCTTTTACCAAATAGGGCTATCTTGTGTATACCCCCCTACCTTGTCACAACACAACTGATTGGCTAAAACGCATTAAGACGGAAAGAAATTCCACAAATTAACTTTTAGCAAGGCACACCTGTTAATTGAAATGCATTCCAGGTGACTACCTCATGAAGCTGGTTGAGAGAATGCCAACAGTGTGCAAAGCTGTCATCAAGGCAAAGGGTGGCTACTTTGAAGAATCTCAAATATAAAATATGTTGATTAGTTTAACACTTTTTTGGTTACTACATGATTCCATATGTGTTACTTCATAGTTTTGATGTCTTCACTATTATTCTACAATTTAGAAAATAATAAAAATAAAAACCCTGGAATGAGTAGGTGTCCAAACGTTTGACTGGTACGGTACATATGTGTGTATATATGTGTGTATGTATATATATATATATATATACTGCTCAAAAAAATAAAGGGAACACTTAAACAACACAATGTAACTCCAAGTCAATCACACTTCTGTGAAATCAAACTGTCCACTTAGGAAGCAACACTGATTGACAATACATTTCACATGCTCTTGTGCAAATGGAATAGACAACAGGTGGAAATTATAGGCAATTAGCAAGACACCCCCAATAAAGGACTGGTTTTGCATGTGGTGACCACAGACCACTTTTCCTGGCTGATGTTTTGGTCACTTTTGAATGCTGGCGGTGCTTTCACTCTAGTGGTAGCATGAGACGGAGTCTACAACCCACACAAGTGGCTCAGGTAGTGCAGCTCATCCAGGATGGCACATCAATGCGAGCTGTGGCAAGAAGGTTTGCTGTGTCTGTCAGCGTAGTGTCCAGAGCATGGAGGCGCTACCAGGAGACAGGCCAGTACATCAGGAGACGTGGAGGAGGCCGTAGGAGGGCAACAACCCAGCAGCAGGACTGCTACCTCCGCCTTTGTGCAAGGAGGAGCAGGAGGAGCACTGCCAGAGCCCTGCAAAATGACCTCCAGCAGGCCACAAATGTGCATGTGTCTGCTCAAACGGTCAGAAACAGACTCCATGAGGGTGGTATGAGGGCCCGATGTCCACAGGTGGGGGTTGTGCTTACAGCCCAACACCGTGCAGGACATTTGGCATTTGCCAGAGAACACCAAGATTGGCAAATTCACCACTGGTGCCCTGTGCTCTTCACAGATGAAAGCAGGTTCACACTGAGCACGTGACAGACTTGACAGAGTCTGGAGACGCCGTGGAGAACGTTCTGCTGCCTGCAACATCCTCCAGCATGACCAGTTTGGCGGTGGGTCAGTCATGGTGTGGGGTGGCATTTCTTTGGGGGGCCGCACAGCCCTCCATGTGCTCGCCAGAGGTAGCCTGACTGCCATTAGGTACCGAGATGAGATCCTCAGACCCCTTGTGAGACCATATGCTGGTGCGGTTGGCCCTGGGTTCCTCCTAATGCAAGACAATGCTAGACCTCATGTGGCTGGAGTGTGTCAGCAGTTCCTGCAAGAGGAAGGCATTGATGCTATGGACTGGCCCGCCCGTTCCCCAGACCTGAATCCAATTGAGCACATCTGGGACATCATGTCTCGCTCCATCCACCAACGCCACATTGCACCACAGACTGTCCAGGAGTTGGCGGATGCTTTAGTCCAGGTCTGGGAGGAGATCCCTCAGGAGACCATCTGCCTCCTCATCAGGAGCATGCCCAGGCGTTGAAGGGAGGTCATACAGGCACGTGGAGGCCACACACACTACTGAGCCTCATTTTGACTTGTCCTTAAAACATTACATCAAAGTTGGATCAGCCTGTAGTGTGGTTTTCCACTTTAATTTTGAGGGTGACTCCAAATCCAGACCTCCATGGGTTGATAAATTTGATTTCCATTGATAATTTTTATGTGATTTTGTTGTCAGCACATTCAACTATGTAAAGAAAAAAGTATTTAATAAGATTATTTAATTCATTCAGATCTAGGATGTGTTATTTTTGTGTTTCCTTTAGTTTTTTTGAGCAGTGTGTGTGTATATATATGATATATATATATATATATATATATATATATATATATACACAGTGGGGAGATTTTGATACACTGCCGATTTTGCAGGTTTTCCTACTTACAAAGCATGTAGAGGTCTGTAATTTTTATCATAGGTACACTTCAACTGTGAGATACGGAATCTAAAAAAATCCAGAAAATCACATTGTATGATTTTTAAGATATTAATTTACATTTTATTGCATGACATAAGTATTTGATACATCAGAAAAGCAGAACTTAATATTTGGTACAGAAACCTTTGTTTGCAATTACAGAGATCATACGTTTCCTGTAGGTCTTGACCAGGTTTGCACACACTGCAGCAGGGATTTTGGCCCACTCCCCCATACAGACCTTCTCCTTAACCTTCAGGTTTCGGGGCTGTCGCTGGACAATACGGACTTTCAGCTCCCTCCAAAGATTTTCTGTTGGGTTCAGGTCTGGAGACTGGCTAGGCCACTCCAGGACCTTGAGATGCTTCTTACGGAGCCACTCCTTAGTTGCCCTGGCTGTGTGTTTCGGGTCGTTGTCATGCTGGAAGACCCAGCCACGACCCATCTTCAATGCTCTTACTGAGGGAAGGAGGTTGTTGGCCAAGATCTCACGATACATGGCCCCATCCATCCTCCCCTCAATACGGTGCAGTCGTCCTGTCCCCTTTGCAGAAAAGCATCCCCAAAGAATGATGTTTCCACCTCCATGCTTCACGGTTGGGATGGTGTTCTTGGGGTTGTACTCATCCTTCTTCTTCCTCCAAACACAGCGAGTGGAGTTTAGACCAAAAAGCTCTATTTTTGTCTCATCAGACCACATGACCTTCTCCCATTCCTCCTCTGGATCATCCAGATGGTCATTGGCAAACTTCAGACGGGCCTGGCTTAAGCAGGGGGACCTTGCGTGCGCTGCAGGATTTTAATCCATGACGGCGTAGTGTGTTACTAATGGTTTTCTTTGAGACTGTGGTCCCAGCTCTCTTCAGGTCATTGACCAGGTCCTGCCGTGTAGTTCTGGGCTGATCCCTCACCTTCCTCATGATCATTGATGCCCCACGAGGTGAGATCTTGCATGGAGCCCCAGACCGAGGGTGATTGACCGTCATCTTGAACGTCTTCCATTTTCTAATAATTGCACCAACAGTTGTTGCCTTCTCACCAAGCTGCTTGCCTATTGTCCTGTAGCCCACTCCAGCCTTGTGCAGGTCTACAATTTTATCCCTGATGTCCTTACACAGCTCTCTGGTCTTGGCCATTGTGGAGAGGTTGGAGTCTGTTTGATTGAGTGTGTGGACAGGTGTCTTTTATACAGGTAACGAGTTCAAACAGGTGCAGTTAATACAGGTAATGAGTGGGGAACAGGAGGGCTTTTTAAAGAAAAACTAACAGGTCTGTGAGAGCCTGAATTCTTACTGGTTGGTAGGTGATCAAATACTTATGTCATGCAATAAAATGCAAATTAATTAAAAATCATACAATGTGATTTTCTGGATTTCTGTTTTAGATTCCGTCTCTCACAGTTGAAATGTACCTATGATAAAAAATTACAGACCTCTACATGCTTTGTAAGTAGGAAAACCTGCAAAATCGGCAGTGTTTCAAATACTTGTTCTCCCCACTGTATGTATGTATGTATGTATGTATGTATGTATGTATGTGTGTGTGTGTGTGTGTGTGTATATATATATATATATATATATCTTTTTTTTTTTTTTTTTACAGTAATTAAAATCATACCGTCTGTATTTCGAAATACTGTATTTCGTATACTGTATAAATGGTATATCGCCCAATCCTACAATATACATTTTATTATTTTGAATGCAGCGCCATCTTCTCTGGCAGGGCTAAGTAAAGCATTCCGGAGAGTAACCAGTGGACCATTATAGGACTCCAATTGCCTGTGGAAAGATGAGCCATAATTGCTAGGAAAATAGTAGTCTCCGATTAGAGAGGAAAGGTGGAGAGAGAGGGTAAACCACAGAGGGAGATGTAACATTATCCAGACTATCATCTTTCAGAAAGCATGGCTTGGGTTTTAATGAGAGACAGTTACTAGATCCATGATATCAAGTAATCTTTGCCTTATTATTTTTTGCTAACATTTCCCATGGTATTGGGTTGCGAGACTGAGAGTCTTAAAGCCAGTTATTTGATCAGGGTTTGCGGGGGAGATATATTAAACTGCTGCCTCGACTGACCAAACCATTTTTTTTATTCTTTAGAGGGGTTTGTCCTGACCTTTTTTCAGAGGCACCAAAATGTTATTCTGTAGTGTTGTTGCTATGTGTTATTTACTACCCCTAGAGTGCCTTTATGGGCTGGCATCAGAGCCTTGGGTATGTCAGGAATACCACAGAATGCAGAACCACATGGCCAGCCAGAGAGAAGGGGGAATTCAAACTATCTCACTGAGCATTTTATATATTCTGTAATGATGAGCGTTGGGGCTTGGCTTAGGGTCTCCAGGATTCCAGACAGTGACCGCATTTCCATCCACAGTTTTTATGCGAGCAAAGTCATACTGTATAAAAGAAAAATCAAGACAGCTGTGATGGAAACAGGAAGTTTCAGTATAATTTTATAAATGCAGACAGATAATTAGTTCATTCAACATGGTGGGGTGTTTTTGTGTCTGTAAAATGTATTATGTGAGAAATGGAGGTGGAAATGCCAAACTAAGAGTCGCGATGATATGGTGTGTGATCCTCCCGCTAGGCTAGGCTACAGATTAATGAAGTTATGATGAACTTCACAGGGTGGTGAATATGCATGCTTGATGCTCCTTGACTGCCGTTTGAAAAGTACAAATATTCTCGCTCTTATCCATAATAATCACATCATGTAGACTAGCTACCAGCACAGTATCTGCGAGCTGTTGGCTAGAGCCCATGTGCTAAGACCAGAGTAGGCACATTTGGCTATTTAACACAACAGTTTTTGTGACGACTATCGGTAAAGTTGAAAATGCGATGGAAACACATTGACCTTTTTAGATTTGTATTCGGTACATGAAAATTTAAGCGGGAAATTACATTTAGTGTGCACTATGTCATCACGCTGATTTTTCTCCGCAACAAGTCTGTCGGCAATTGGATTGAAACCTAGTTAGTGTGGGTTGGAAATCCATTGGTCTCTCTTCCTCAAGTGATCCCCTCCCCTTTCAACTAAACTATTAGGGCAGACTAACCCTAGCTCTATTTTCAGGATATTTTGCAGTTTATTTGTTTGATATCAGTCGTAAATCTAACCCATGTTTTTGTGAATCTCCTCTCTGTTGTAGGAGCTGCAGGTTGGCACCATTAATCCAGTGTGACTATTGCCCCCTCCTTTTCCACATGGACTGTCTGAACCCCCCTCTTACTGCCATGCCTGTGGGCAAGTGGATGTGTCCCAATCACTTAGAACACATGGTGGTAAGTCTGTGAAAGCCTGTACGGCCAGCATTTTCATGGTCACGCACATCTACGTATTGAAAACGTATTGATGTTGTTTTAATGGGATTGACCTGATTGTGCCCCTCTCTCCCAGCTGAAGCAGAGGAGCCTGACGTTGAGCAGTCGCTGCCAGCTGTTTGACCAGTTTCAGGACAGGATGTCCCAGCATGCCGTCAAGGTGGACTTCCTGCAGCGGGTGCATCGTCTCAACACCCCCGTCCGCCGAGGAGCCCACACACAACTGAAGAAAACCCTCAAGGTCAGCCTGCTAGTCCCTGTAGTATTATTGTGGGTTAAAGCATTGCTTCCTCTGTCAGATGAGGTGACATGTAACACACCACTGTGGTCACTCTTGTCACATCTTGTAATTAGACCCATCTTGTGTGTGTGTGTGTGTGTGTGTCTCGACAGGTCCCTGATTCTATAAAGTCCCAGTACAAGTGTCCCCCGGCCATGATTGCCCCGGCAGGGATCCGCAACGAGGAGCTGGTCTGTAACAGCAGTCCAGAATCCCTTCAGCAGCACCTTACACCCTCTCAGCATTTAACCAGCGAGGATGAGCAACAGGAGGTAGGACACTGGCATGTTACCCAGCAGTGATACACAATACAATGTCTCATGAGAGTAAACAAATCCCACATCTTTAATACTGATTGAAGGTGTTTTGTTTTCCTGTGTTTTCTCCTAGTGGCTCAGAGATGTCATCACACTCCAGTGCAGCATAGTGAGACATCTGTCAGCCAAGCAGAAGCTGTCGTCCGATTGGGACTCTGATAAAACGGACAAGGCCGACATCAAACCCTGTGTCACAGCAGAAGAGGGCAGTGCTGTGTGCACTTCTAACAGGACAGAGTCGCCAGCCTCCAAGCCTAAAGCTGACAGTGCAGCAGTTTGCCCCCAGGGGCTGCCTGCACTCAAGGAAGGGAAGTGTAGCATGTGTACAGAGAAGCCTTGTCACAACTGTGGGCCCAGTAATGTTAACGGTCCCCTGGAGCAGCTGGCTTGGACCAATGGGAGTCCAGAGGCCTGCAGACAGGACAACCTCCACAAGCTGAGAGAGCCCTCAGGTCCTGATAGGCCCGTTCCTCAGACACCAGCAGCCTCCAGCCCGGAGTTACCCAACCACACTGGTGAAGCTGTGGTCAAGACTGAGAACACCCTGTTAAGACCCTGTCCAGGGACGGCCTTCTCATCCATCAGTCCCTTCAAACCAGACCCCAGAGGCCCCTCTCCACCTCACAGACCCTCCCCAGGCACAGAGGGCCCTGCTCTAACCAGTAGCAGCAGCACTGTGGGGACCTGTGCCCTCACCCCACCCAGAGCACCATACCAGATCAAGGGGATGACCAAGCTGGGCTCCACCCCACCAGCAGATGGAAAAGTCAGTCTTGATGCTGTGACCACCAGGAGTGGTTCTCTGCTCCCCAGCTCTTTCTCTATGGGAGACCTGTCCAGCTGTCTGAAGGCTATGGCAGACTGCCATGGTGGTAAGTCTCACCTGATTTAAGACATACATTTAGATTGGTTTCACATTTGATTAATTGGTGAGGAAAAGTTGGATCCACACTAACTGAATTCACTCTCTTTTTGCTAATAACAACATGATTATTTTCCACAGAGATTCAGATGAGTAGTCTGGATGAGAAGTTTATTGAACTCCTGGCATGGCAGAGGATCCATCAGCTGTTTGGGCCTAAAGCTTATTCCCCTCCACAGAGCAGCTGTATCAGCCTACCTCCTGTGCCACAACCCCAGCCTACAGAAGGTAAGAAACCCTTGTTCATTATCAACACCATTTTGTATTCCCTATATTTATACTTCACTGACTCACTGTCCATTCCCTCACTAACCTTACCTCACCATCTTCACTCCTATCATTCTGTCCATTCCCTCACTAACCTTACCTCACCATCTTCACTCCTATCATTCTGTCCATTCCCTCACTAACCTTACCTCACCATCTTCACTCCTATCATTCTGTCCATTCCCTCACTAACCTTACCTCACCATCTTCACTCCTATCATTCTGTCCATTCCCTCACTAACCTTACCTCACCATCTTCACTCCTATCATTCTGTCCATTCCCTCACTAACCTTACCTCACCATCTTCACTCCTATCATTCTGTCCATTTCTGTTGATGTCCATTACTTCTATCCCCCTTTTTATCATGTTTGTAAATTAATCTCTTGTATGGATTAGTTTGTCCTGTATTGTTACCTTTGACTGTTCTGTATTTTGCAGCATTGTGAGGAAGATAATGTGTTCTTTTCTTTCTCAGCACAAAACAAGGATATCCAGGCCAGGGCTGTGTTTTGTCCTTTGACTGGGAAAGGAGGAGCTGTCAGTATGTGCTACAGAAGCCTGTACATAGGAACGGGTAAGATTCACTCCCAGTCCCAAATATCACATGATCCAATAACAGGACCTTCTATTCATGTAAAGGTGTCTTCCATCCCTGGCAGATTTTGCTGACTTGAGGTTATGTCTTGTTATTTGCAGGTGCTGACATGGACGTGTGCCTTACAAACTATGGTCATTGTAATTATGTTTCAGGAAAACATGCCTGCATCTTCTATGATGAGGTGAGTGGGTCATTTCACATTCAAACCTGTACTTGGTATTGGAATCAATTTTACAGTAAGTTGTGAACTGTAAAGAAATGCAGTATAAATAAGTTTGAGATGTATTCTTTCTTGCTTGGGGGATTCTTTTTAGAAGCTGCTCTGTAAATTAAATATTTCATTCTGCCTTGATCAGAACACCAAGCAGTATGAGCTGCTCAACTACAGTGAACACGGGACCACGGTGGACAATGTGCTGTACTCCTGTGACTTCTCTGAGAAGACTGGCCCCAGCCCCTCCAGCAGCCTGGTCTCCAAAGTGCAGAATATTATCAGTGAGTGGAGCTCCTCTTTGTCATGGCCTCCTATAGAAACAGGAAAGAATTAACATTTACCTTTGATAAAGGACCATGCTCTGACATGATGGCATGTTTCCTAATGTTGTTAAAGCAGAGGCAGGTGATGGTGTTGTTTGTTAAAGGTCTGAGTGTTTGTAATGCTTGTAACCTACAGAGCGCTGCAAGAGGAGGAAGCAGGAAGATGAAGGGGTGGGGGAGCCCATGGTGCTAGAGGAGAGGGTGATGTGCCAGTGTCAGGTGAATCCTTCTAGACCCTGCTGCGACTGCAAGGCCAGCAGCTCCAGTCTGATCGGGGGCAGTGGGGCAGGCTGGGAGGGCACTGCCCTGCTCCACCACGGCAGCTTCGTCAAGCTGGGCTGCATGCAGTTTGTCTTCAGTATTACAGAGTTTGCCTGCAAGCAGCCTAGAAAGGAAACCCTTAACACCCCAACCACCACCGCTGCCACCCCCCAGAGCCAGGAGGGAACAGAACCCTCTGACAAGCACACGTCCACCTCCCAGCTCTACCAAGTGCCAGTGCTGCACCCTAACCCTGTCCCCTAGCCCCATCATGTCCCCTCAGCAACAAGAATCAGCCTCAGCAGCTATACTTTGTATACTGCATAAAAAAAGGGATGCTTTTTTGATGTTCATACATTTGCATGAAATGAATTATTTTTCAGTCTCCGATTTTGTGGGCAAGTTGCACATACAATTTGTATTGTTATTTTTTGTAAATGGACAATTTTCTGAAAGTAATTGAATTGGCATTGAAAAAGGGATGGCTTATCGTTGACATTATGTGAAAAAATTGAAACGTTTCCAGCCAACTTGTAAAGTACTCAACTCGTTCTATTTTTGCCAGTAATGATGGCATAAACTTTTTTTTATGCAACTTTTATTTACTCTTTATAATTTTAGTTTGTGTACTGTATTTGAAAATGTAGTTCTGTTCAGATGTTTGTTTTGCTATTATTGCACTACAGTAGCACTATATTCAAATGTATGTGTATACATACATGTGTTGTATACATGGTTGTGTGTGTGTGTGTGTTGAAATATATACACACACACACAAAATATACATGATTTAAGAATCATTTTTCAACAGAACAAGGGAAGCATAGGATTCTGTATGCAAACTTCAATTATGGCCATTTTGGCTTTTAAAACTTTCCATAGCTTCATGTGAATTTTGTGCAGTAGTTTTCAAAAGTGATACTCCAGTTTTTTTCAATATTGTCTGTTTTAGAAATAATTCATCTGAACATTGTCATGTACTCTGTAAATACAAAGCAACTTTGACTTGGTTTCTTGTCTGTTATAACAATGTAAATACCTAAAGATTTTTAAGCGTCAGTGAACACCGTGGCTTCTGTCATTTCATTTGTTGCTAACAACAAATTGGGCGATTCCATGCCAGCATAACCCCAAAATATTTTTGGTATCTCAGATTGTTCTGGTAATTCTCACATTGGGAGGAAGGAGGTTTGACATGCTTTTTACATTTTGTATCAATCTTTTTTTTTTTTATCATGAAAATGGCAATTTTAGGCCCTTTTTAGACCTATACATTCCTTCTGTAAGTTCTTATGATGCGTGAACTGTACATAATACAGACATCATCTTGGTGTCATTATACTCCTTTATAGTGTTCTCTATTATATGGAATACAGTGGGTATCATAAGTATTCACCCCCTTGGACTTTTTTCACATTTTGTTGCGTTACAAAGTGGGATTGAAATAGATTTAATTGTAATTTTTTTTGTCATTGATCTACACAAGATACTCCATAATGTCAAAGTGAAAAGAAAATTCTACAAATTAATAAAAATTAAATAACTAAAATATAGTTGTTGCATAAGTATTCACCTCCTTTTGTTTAGCCAAGCATAAATTAGTTGAGTGCATTTTTGCTTATCAAATCACATTATTTACATGGGCTCACTCTGTGTGAAGTAATAGGGGTTGACATGATTTTTGAATGACTACCCCTTCCTCTGTCCCCCATGCATACAACATCTTTAAGGTCCCTCAGTCAAGTATTGGATTTCAATTACAAAGCCCAGGAAGCTTTTCAAAAGCCTCAAATAAGGGCAGTGATTGGTAGATGGGTAACAATAACAAATCAGACATTGAATATTTATTTAAAGAGATTCTCTGGTACTTTTGTAGAATTTTTTTGCCAGTAGTTCTGAAAGTAGCACTCATGAGCCAAAAGTGGTCCCCGAACTAGTCACATGCAGATATGTGCACCACGTCATTGCGCTCTTTCTCGCTCTGCTGTGTGTGCATCTTGCTAGCTGCCACTCAAATGGCAAGGGGTTGAAACTTGAATTGCTAGGGTGCTAGCCCAGGTGGGGGGAAATGGTGCAGCACAGCTTCCAGAAAACAGTCGCTTTCAAACTAGGGATTTCATGGCTAATTGAGGTAAAACTAATTCTGGTCATCAATTATGCATGTATGACCTACACATTGACACCAGCCCAAAGCGGGAGGTTTAAAAAGTCGCCAAAGTTCCGGAGCATGTCTTTAAGCATGGTCAAGATGTATTAAACCACCCAGATACATCAAATATACAGTTTTCCTTCTGAACTGAGCTGCAGGACAGAAAGGAAACTGCTCAGAGATGTCAACATGAGGCCATTGGTGATTTTAAAACAGCTACAGAGTCCAATGGCTGTGATGGGAGAAAACTGGGGATGGATCCACAACATTGTAGTGATGACCTTAATGACAGAGTGAAAAGAAGAACACAAATATTCCAAAACATGCATCCTGTATGCAACAAGGCACTAAAGGAATACACTTTTTGGCCTAAATGCAAAGCCTTATGTTTGGGCCAAATCCAACACAACACTGAATAACTGCATGGTGGTGGCTGCATCATGGTATGGGTATGCTTGACATTGGCAAAGACTGGGGAGTTTTTCAGAATGAAAAGCAACGGGATGGTGCAAAGCACAGGCAAAATCCTAGAGCAAAACCTGCTTCAGTCTGGGACACTGGGAGAGGATTTCACATTTCAGCAGGACAATAACCTATAACACAAGGCCAAATATACACTGGAGTTGCTTACCAACTAAGACTGAATGTTCGGAGTGGCTAAATTACAGTTTTGACTTAAATCTGCTTGAAAATCTATGGCAAGACTTGAAAATTGCTGTCTAGCAATGAACTCCAACACTTGGACAGAGCTCGAAGAATTTTGAAAAGAATAATGGGCAAATATTGCACAATCCTTGTGTACAAAGCTCTTAGAGATTTACAGCTGTAATCGCGGCCAAAGGTGTTTCTAACATGTATTGACTCGGGGGTGAATACTAATCTAATCAAGGTATATTAGTGTTTTATTTTTTTAATGTTATCATTTTTTCCCACTTTGCAGACTATTTTGTGTAGACCGTTGACAGAAAAATGACAATTAAATCCATTTTAATCCCACTTTGTAACAATAAAATGTGAAGAAATCCTAGGGGGGTGAATACCTATGATATTGATACCTACTGTATATCTAGCTTCTGAAATACACATTTCCACAATTTATTAAACATAAACAATATTAATATTAATATCTCAAAAGTACCCTTTTTGATTTAGTTAATTTTAAGACCTATTGTTTAGAACAATATACTCTACAGGTACATCACATTTCCAGAGTGGGCTCTCTACTAATTCTGATGTTATGATCAATTGTATGAGTGCCACCAGCACAGTGAATGGCAAAATGGATTCAAAGGGAACTTCCTCTGCTGGTGATTAGCTTAATGTGCAATCCTAAAAGAGGTCTGTGAATATCGATTTCTATGTTTAAAATGGGTCATATATCTTATAAGTTCCAGAGAGCCCACTCTGGAATTTTGAATTGTTTGAAGAGTATATTGTTCCAAACAATGTTGTCTGTATCATGTACAGTTCACGGATCATAAGGTCTTACAGGAGGCATGTATAGGTCTAAAAAGGGCCTAAAATTGCCACTTTCATCATGACTTCTCAAAAATGGTTTGTGATACAAATGTAAAAAGCATGTAAAAACGCCTTCCTCCCACTGCATCGCAGTACTAGAGGCGTCACTACAGATCCGGGTTCGATCCCTGGATGTGTCGCAGCCGGCTGCGACCGGGAAACCCATGAGGCGGCGCACAATTGGCCCAGCGTCGTCCGGATTAGGGGAGGGTTTGACCGGCTTGGATGTCCTTGTCCCATCGCGCTCTAGCGACTCCTTGTGGCGGCCGGGCGCATGCACGCTGACTTCAGGTCACCAGCTGTACGGTGTTTCCTCCGACTCATTGGTGCGGCTGGCTTCCGGGTTAAGCGAGCAGTGTGTCAAGAAGTAGTGTGGCTTGGCGGGGTAGTGTGTCGGAGGACGCATGGTTCGGCCTTCGCCTCTACCGAGTCCGTACGGGAGTTGCAGCGATGGGACAAGACTAACTACCAATTGGATATCACGAAATTGGGGAGAAAAGGGGGTAAAATAAATTATTCATAATACATATTTAAAAATCCTTCCTCCCAATGAAGTTTCTATGTGATAATTGCCAGAAAAACCTGAGATAACAAACATATTTTCAGCTGGCATGGAATCGTTGCAGACATTGAGACCCTGCTTTTCACAGCATTTATTAGGACCAAAACCCTTGGGTGTGTGTAGGAACATAAATGCATCTTGCTATCCACAAAAGAGAACAGAGAAAAGTGAGAAGCTTGTTGGGCAGCAGCCGTCAGCAGAGATAGTATGAGATTAGATTTGGTGTAAATCTATTTGAATTCAATCACTTCTTGACAGAACCCCTTTTGATTTGAACAAAACCTTCCCATACATAAACTTCCATACATATTTGGCTTTTATAGAAGTGCTCAGAAAGTGACATTTTGGACCTGAATGCCAAAACATTCAAGAGATAAAGGTGCTCAAAGTTGAACTATTTTGCATACCCCACCATACCATGAGACATCCATGTCTTCATCATTGTAAAAAAATAAAATAACGTTTGAGATGTATATAATTTTTAAGATTACAAACAGGGTTGTCAGAATATTTGATAATTTCTTGAAAAACATGTTTAATAAACGTCAACTATCTAAAAATGCATTGTAGCTTAGACCCTATTTTACGTCGTCTGAGGTTTTTGTGTTGTGCCCGCCATCGGTTGAGACAAAATACCCACTGGTTGAATCAACATTGTTTCCATGTAATTTCAATGAAATTACATTGAATCAACCTGGAATAGACGTTGAATTGACGTCTGTGCCCAGTGGGCATGCTCTTAAATAGAGAGCGGGTGTCATGTTTTGTCTGATACATGTGCTAAAATGGGAATAAAATGGAAATGTAAACTTTCAAATGGTACCACAAAGATGGTTGGAGGTCCACAAATCAGGGAATGTTTATTGAATGAGAATATCTGTTGTTTTAATTAATTATATTTCAATGATTGAAATGACACCCACCCTGTATTCCAGAGCATGTTGTGTCTCAACCGATGGTGGGCACAACACAAAAACCTTAGATGATGGAAAGTAAGGTCTAAACTACAAAATATGCAAATATGAAAAAAAGTTTTGAGTTTACGGGTTTTTAGATAATTTAACGTTAAAGGTAAAAAAATGTAAAATGTCAATGTTTCAAGAAATTATAAAATAGTTTGACAACCCTGTTTGTAAGCTTTTAAATGATATCAAACTCAACCGTTTATCTTTTCCAGTGATGAAGACATGGATGTCTCATGATATGGTGGGGTATGCAAAATGTGTCAACTTTGAGCACCTCTATCTTCTAAAGGATTTGGCATTCAGGTCCAAAAACTAACTTTCTGACCACTTCTTCCATGGTCAAACATGTATGGAAAGTTTTGTTTAAATCAAAAGGTATGCTGCCAAAAAGGGATTGAATTCAAATGGCTTTAGCCTGTTATATTTTGAGATTATATGGGTGATGGGATCATCCTGAAAATGTTTTGCTTTTCCTGATAATTTTGAACAGAAATGTATTCAAGTCCAATTGAATGCTGGAACTTTGGAAATCTGTCGATTGTAGCCTCTGGCAGCGGGTGAAAAGCAGTGGAGGCTGGTGGGAGGAGCTATAGGAGGATGGGCTCATTGTAATGGCTGGAATGGAGTAAATGGAACTGAGTCAAACATGTGGCTCCTATAGCTCCTCCCACCAGCCTCCTCTGGTGAAAAGTTCGATAAAGGAATCTTTGCCTCTGTTATTGTATTGTCTACACAAAATGTCTTATAGGCTACACTGTTTCATGCAATCAGAGATAGCTATTACTAAAATAAACCTGTTGGTTTACCTTGGGAAGAAATGGCAGTTTAGAGATGCTTTGGCGGGTATGCTGAGTCTTTCTAAGGCTGTGTTTACACAGGCAGTCCAATTCGAATATTTTGCCCAGTTGACCCTTCGCTAAGCCCCGCCCCCGTTGGTTACTGTTGCAACCTCGGACAACATGTTCCCGGGAAGCCCAATTCCCCCTTCTAACCAGACTACCCCTTGCTAATCAGGAAACATATTTTTCACTTCTCTCATTGACTTCTCAAACTCCAAACCCCCGGCCTGGTCTGCTTGGTCTGTTTTGCAAGCACTCCTGGAAGTCTCATGATGTTGCGCCTCTGGGTTTAAAATAAATAAATATATATATATATGATGTTTTATTGTCACATACCGGATAGGTGCGGTGACATTTGTTGTTTTACAGGGTCAGCCATAGTAGTACCGCACCCCTGGAGCAAATTAGGGTTAAGTGCCTTGCTCAAGGGCACATTGACAGATTTTTCACCTTTATTCAAACAAGTGACCTTTCGGTTACTGGCCCAATGCTCCAACCGCTAGGCTACCTGCCACCCATTTAAAAATGCTGCGCTTTCATGTGTTTCAAACGTGAGCTTGTCTGAGGTGATTGGACTCGACGACAGTTGCTAGCCATTGGAGCGCTGCGATTGGTTGCCCAAAATTCTGGGGCGTGGCTTAGCGTAGGCACAAGAGCAGATCTAATTGGTCAAAAGACCAATTATTGGGAAAATATCAGAATTTCATGTTCCAGAGTTCACTGGGTGCCCTGTCAGGGTGAAGGAGGTCAAAGTAGCGAGGATCAGGGCTGTCGAGCAGGTCTCCTATGTGGAGGCAGTGAAAATTGTTGAAGGAGAGAGTAGATATGATGAAGCTATGGCAGTGGATGACCAGCAGCCTGTTGATGTTGTTTGTGAGATAAAATACTAATGCTGAAGTAGGTGGATTTTGTTGCGTTCATTGCTCAGGTGATTAATTGAAAGGACAAACTAATAAAATTGAAGAAACTGGATATCATTGTGAAAGCAGCAAAAAAGGTTATTGGATCTTCAGGACTTCATGGCTGAAACATTGCAGTGAATACTGTCCTCTCAGGCCCCAGAGCCTGTGTAGGGATCTGAGTAGACATTTGAAACTGACTGAAGGAGTACATTGATTTGAGTTTTTATTGTTATTTTTGGGGGAATAATATGAGTTTGAGCATATTATGAGTATGTTTTTCACACTTCCCCATTTCCTTTTCTCTGTTAGTTTCTCCGTTTTTACCCCACCCAGTAGGTGGCGGCTATACACCTTTTGGGATTTAGTCCGCCAATAGAAATTCAAAGATGAAGAAGAAGCAGATCAGAGTTAGGCTGCCTGTGTAAATGCAGCCTGTAGGCCAAAAATGACAGGGATATTATGAGATTATATTTTATGATGTGAGATTTTGTGGGTGATGGGAACATCCTGAAAATGTGTTGATTTTCCTGATCATTTTCAACAGCAATGTATTCAAGTCCAATTGAATGCTGGAAATGTGGAAATCTGTTCCATTCAGTTTAAGTATAAGCCTTTGGCAGTAGGTGAAAAGTAAAAGTTGTAGTGCAGAGATTCAATTCAGTTCAAATTTTGGCAGGTATGCCGAGTCTTTAAGTGCAGCCTGTAGGCTACTAGTAAAATGTAAGTTTGATGAAAAGTCTACAAGGCTTTACACAGCAGACTAGATAGGCCTATTCAGTATAATTCTCAACACCAGGTGAGATACATAATACCCTGCTGAGTTTGAGTAGCCTAGATTACAAAACCAAGGCCCACTTTTTGCTACACGTATGTAGACTCACCTGAATCCAGATTTAGGAGACAACCTCACCAGAAAGAAGGAGAAAGGGGTGATTTGCTTCAATTTTCAGAGCAGGGCACCAATTAAGGGAGTGATTTCTGGGGTCAGTGGGGAAGTTGAGGTTGAGACGATCAAGATAAATTCCTGGTGTTCGTCGGTTGGCTCATATGGTCGGTGGAAGAAAGGAGGATAGTATGTCTGTGCTACTGTTTATTGATGAGGAGTCTCTCCCTACACACATCATGATGGGTTATATTAATTATTCTGTGAGAGCATTTGTTCTCAGGGTATTGCAATGTACAAACTGTAAAGCGTTTGGACATGTGTCGAGTGTTTTTAGGAAACTGGATATGAGTGATCCTCTTGCTAAGATAGAAGAGGACAACGAATGTTGGAATTGTGGTGGGGAACATGCACGAGTACCCTGAGTGCCTTCTAAGGGTGAAAAAGGAAGAGATTGCCAGGGTAAGTGCTGTCCAGCGTGTCTCTTATGCCTAGGCGGCGAAAATAGTGAAAGAAAGTGGGAGTGTGTTGGTCGCCATGGTGGAGGCACCACAGTCTAGTGCTGTGGGTGCAGTTCGCCAGGTGCAGGATCCAGAAACCCTCTGAGTCCTAGTGAAAAAAACATTTTGCCATTGATTGCTATGGTAATAAACACCCCTGCCAGAGTGGATAAGAATTCAAGAAAGATTGATATCATCATATCTGCATCTGAATGCTTTTGGGATTGAAGGATTTAATTTATTTTGGGTAACAGACATATACAACAGAATGCTCAATGTGGACCCAGAGTATATCACTTAATAGTATTAATTAAAACGCTTGTATCCAAAGTGGTCCTCGATGTCACAGGCAAGGAGCTGCATGGAATACTGGCTGGAGCAGTTCCGTCCTCTCAGGTCCCTGGATCTGTGTGAATTTGAATGACTGAGGTTTACTTCTTATATTTTTTTGTATTATGTTTTCCTTTTTTTGGATTTACCCCTTTTAGTTTTCTGCATCCAGTAGCGGGCAGCAATCCACCTTTTCAGGCTGTAGTCAGCAATAAAAACCCACCTACGAAGAACAGGTTGTGTCAGGCACACTAAGACCAAAGATTATGGATATACTGACAAGATACATGTCTCTCCGCCCTAACAATGGGAGATGTTGTCCACAAAGCGGCACAGCGGGCTGTGTAGCACCCGCTTATCCTTTCTTTGAATTGGTGGATACATCTCATTATTGTAATCCTTTTTTAAATATTCGACGAGGGTTGTTGACGTCAACCGCCTGTATTAAATGGAGAGAGATGCTATGCTACTAGCCCTAATACCATGAGCCATCTGGAGACAACTCCTATAAAGTGTTTTTAAAAAAAATCAAACTTGGATGTCACGTGTCCTACTTATATCAGTACACTCATAACAATTTAAGGATTAAGTAACTTCTATTAGATCAAATAAACCTCACGTAGCAAATAAGCCATTCATTTTTTTTGTTTACCAAATTCGACACTCATTGACCTCCATTCAAAAACTCCTTGCTTGGTGGGCGAAACAAAGAAAAAACGCCACCTGCTGGAGGGAGACAGATTTTCCGCCGATTTGGGCCTCTCTCTTCCTCTTCCTTTCTGCTAAGACGCAATTGTATACATCTCTAGAACTAAATGGGGAAACACATCAACACCTGTTTGGTCAGAATATTTGACGGTGATCAATCGGAAGCAGGGGACGCAATTGAATAGATCTCTAGAAGTAAATGGGGAAACACATCAGGACCGGTTTGGTCAGAATATTTGACGGTGATCAATCGGAAGCGGGGAACCGGTGGGACAGGTAGGTCTTGCAGGTAGCCTAACAAAAAGCCTGCTCCGCAACTATGTTATATTCACTTGTTGCACTTCCACGAGCGGGAGATTGAGTCCGGACACCAACGACCGGGCAAAAAACATAATGTTACCTTTACTAGTTGCAGGTGGTGTTGTAGTTGCACTGTATGTTCTCCTTGTTAAAACTATTTTCAAAAGCTCCAGATTTAAAGGAAATGCAGCGATGGCAGGGAAGACTGTAATACTAACAGGTTCGTTTGTTATCCTTTAAACATGTTTGACTGCATTGTAAGCCTGATAAAATTGTTGGACATTTTCTTAAATAATACATTCATTGGTGTCATCTGTGTTGTCTGTCTCATGCAGCCTATGATATTTATCTAATTTGGGGTTTCAATCAGGTTTGTTTTGCCTCTGGAACTCCGAATTTTATTTTGTTATTTTTATGTGCCCTGAGTCAATGTCTTGTTCTCCCTATAGGTGGCAACACTGGCATTGGGAAAGCCACTGCTCTGGAGCTTGCCAGGAGGGGTGCAAGAGTAATCATGGCATGCCGCAACCAAGAGAAAGCTGAACTTGCTATAAGTGATATAAAAAGGGTACAAGAATCTTATGAAAATCAATCATTCCACATTTGTATTCGAATATTCATTAGTGAGATGTATCATTTGAACATTGTATGCCTGTAAATATCAGACCTGGGTTCAAATACTATTTAGGGTATTTCAATTACTTTCAAAGACATTTGGAAGTAAGTATTTCGATTTTTCTATTTTGAATATTGGAATGTATTTGGAAATATACTGAGAAAGTACTTTAAAATACACAAATAAACTGATTCAAATACACTCCCATGAATTTAACCCAAGTATTTGAAAAGAATATTAGAAATAATTCTTTGAAAATATTTTCAAATAGTAGGCTATTTATAGGAAATAAATAGGAAAATATTTGATTTGGGCCACATTATTAGAAAATATTTAAATACAATAAAATACGTATTTAAATCAAAAATACTCAAATGCACATGTATTTGAACCCAGGTCTGGTAAATATAGGCCTAACAAATTGTGATTTGTATTTCAGGAGACAGGCAGCACTGATGTGGTGTACATGCAGTTGGACCTGGGGAGCCTTCAGGCAGTGCGTTCTTTCACTGAGACCTTCCTGAAGACAGAGGCTAGCCTGGATCTGCTCATTAATAATGCCGGTTAGTGGTCACGTACTTTTTTCTCTTAATTGTATTCAAAAGAAAACATGAGTAGAAAAAAGCTATTGAACCATCTGTGATCTCTCCCTCAGGTCTGGTGGCGGATGGGCGCACTGCTGATGGCTTTGGTATTGAGTTTGGGGTCAACCACCTTGGCCACTTCCTGCTGACCTGTCTGTTGCTGGACCGCCTGAAGGAGGGCACTGGGGGCCGTGTAGTCACACTGGGATCCATGGCCTATCGCTGGGGCAACATCGACTTTGATGCCCTTATCACTAATAAACACCTGGGCACTGGGAGGTACAGCTGGCAGTTCTTTCACGCGTACTGCAACAGCAAACTGTGCAATGTTCTCTTCAACCACGAGCTGGCCAAGAGACTGAAGGGTACCAATGTCACTTGCTACAGTGTTCACCCAGGTTGGTCATTTCCTTCAAGATTATTATATGGTAGATCTGTCACTATGAACCACAATGAGTCCTGATACACGCTACAAGTCCTGGGATACATACTAAGGGTGTTCATTTTCCTGTGTTGGATCATTGAAAGTTCACCTGTATTATTTTTCTTATCCTATTATGTTTTCCCCCCTATAGGAGTAGTGAAAACAGAGCTATCCCGAAACTGCAGCCTGTGGCAGAGATTCATCATCGAGCCAATAGCTAGACTGTTGTTCCTGGATCCAGAATCCGGTGCCCAGACCACTCTCCACTGTGCCCTCCAGGAGGGTATCGAGCCTCTGAGTGGACGCTACTTCTTCTGCTGTGCACCGCAGGAAGTGGTTCCCAAAGGCAAAGACGACGCTGTGGCCAAGAAGTTGTGGGAAGTTAGTGAACGGCTGAGCGGTCTGTTTTAGGAAAAGGGGGCAATGTTACACACTGTGTAAAAGACTGCTTACACTGCTTTTGATTTGGTGGTTTTTAGATCTGGGGGAAAAACGCTAATTGAACACTCATCAAAATGGATCAATGTGACAAGAAACTGCTCATACATTAGCTGATCTCCTCTTTCACTACACCATGCATGTTGGTGACATCCTGTTTGTGGTGTGTCTTGTATTGACGATAATCAGTGTGCAGTAAGTGTGCCTGTGACAGTTAAAGGTCCAAAGACTTAGGAAGCTCTTGTAGAAACTGTTTGACTTATTATAATAAAAAGATTCCAAGTGATTGATTTCCTTAGGCTTTGCCTTATTGTTGCCATCACTGTAATTTCAAATAGAATAGAGCTCTCTATCGGATATGAAATGGTGACTAATTCCAGCATGTAACCAAACTAGTGATTGTATTGGGCCTATGCATGTAGTGTAATTAGACTGCATACACTACCTTGTACAACTTTGATTGAAGCTTCCGTAGTGGGCTCATGGTCTCGTAATGAGGCCTTGCCTGAGACTTCAAAATCAGTCACCCTCGGCCCCAGAGGGGGTCTAATGGTCAAGACGTTGGGTTATTTCCTGTTGGACACTACCGTGCCACAGCATTCCTTGACACCAGAGGCATTTGCTTGGGTGTGACGAAGTGGCTGGTGCACAGAAAGAACATCCTTCACACACCCGTCAACTTAATCTTTGCATGAGACTGTATATTAGCAGTCACACCGGTCGCACCGGTTTCTCAGAACAGCTCTGAACCTTGGCCTCGTTGTCTCCAAGTGCTCTCATCACTTAAAAACGACTCAACAATGTGGTTTAAGCAACTGCTGCAACAGGGCCTGCCTTTGTCTGCTTGGATGGGTGAGCTGGGAGGGCCTTGTCAAATGTTTTCACTGTCAGTCATTCTATCAACTATTGCCTACGACCACAACTGTATTCTGTTGACTGTGCCTAAGGCACATACAGAGTTGGGTAAAAAGGCGTTGTTTTGATGCAAATAACTGTTGTCTGTTCAATGTTTACATTTATGTTTTTAAACTGTAGTGTTTTGTGTTTTATGTTGTAAAAATGTGTTTTAAACTTTGCTGCTATTTTGGCCAAGTCTCTCTTGAAAAAAATATTTTAAATCTCAATGAGACTAACCTGGAAAAATAAAGGTTAAATAAATCAAATTGAAAGGTAAAATAAGATTATCTTCTGTGAGGCATGCTTACCCCAAAGTATAATAACACAACTGAAAAACACTAGATTGATTTAATTTGAACCAAAATTACAATTTAAAAATCCTATTTGTGACGACTGAATGTATGGACATGCAATATCATAAATGGACACTAGAGGATAGTGTTGAATCTCGTAGTAGGCATTTTCACCATAAAGGATGAAGAAAAAATAGGAGGAGGAAACCGCACAGACATGCTGGCTGGAAAACACTTCGTGTAAGTGATGATTGGGACTGGTCTGCATCTTTAGAAAGTACAAACTAAAACTAATTAGCGTAATATGTTGTTTAAATTCAGCTCATCTTCTTTTTTTTTAAGTTTAGTTTTCACGACGTTGTGTCTAGTGTGCGTACCTTTTAGTAGCTTTGGGACATTCCTGATGATGTGTCCCAAAGCTAACCTTTTAGCAAGCTGGCTGGCAAGCGTGCCTTGCTTGATGCTGAAGGAAACCTGCGTGACTGATGGTAGAGGTAGAAGCTCATTTATTTTATAGCTATCATCCAGCGCCCTAAAAGTTGACCATCCAATCACAGTAGCTAGAGCCATTTATGTCTACTCAATGTATAAACATGGGAACTTGGAATTTGGCTTGTAAGTGTTCCAGGATGTTTGTCCATAGTAGACTGTTGACTGTCGTGTCAGAGTCAAACATGAAAGTGGGTTCTCACTCTGCATCCTACCATTCCACTAGTTCTCTCATCTGGCCTAAAGGACTGCTGTGAGGTGACGATGCAGTGCCTTAACCAGCTCTGGTCTGTGACACTGGCCTGCTGTGCCCGGATACTGGCCTGCTGTGCCGGGAAAGAGACCCAAGCATCCCTGGAGAGGAAGCCCAATGCAGACAGCAGAGTATCATCTGTGCTTTGGAAGCTCAGCCTGGATGACTTTCCAGAGGATGGTGAGAGGCTAATAAAGGACTCCAGAGAAGGACTATCCAGAGAAGAAGACAGGAATGATGAGACATTGTTTGGCGTGTCTCCTGGCTCTCACCCAGGGCAGAAGGAAGTCACACAGGCTTTTTGTGAAGGAGGGTTTGGCCTCTCGTTTGGCCTCTCTAAGGCAGGTGTGTGAGGAGGCCCGTAGACAGGGTGTGCAGATCCAGGGGGTTAGTACGAAGGACTTAAACAAGATGTGCTCAGGAGGGGTCCACCAGGGTTTCATGGGAGTGTATGCTATGACAGCCTCACACATATGCTGAAGGTATTGTACCTCTCCCAATGCATTTTAGCCTGGTCATGCACTGGTCAGCTTACTTTCAGAATCTCACTGTTTGGCTTCAGTATTTTATGAGAGTATGAGAGCTTTAAAAAAATAAATAATTGTCTTTAGTGTTAGCTCTTTTGACCTATATGGAGCCAACTTTAAACCTCAACTTTTAGGAGTTATTGATTTTTCATAGTCCTCACTAGCTGATGACTAGGGTCTGTTCTGTGCCGGTAAAGGTGGCACAAGGCTAGCAGCTTATTGGCACAGTGGGAGCTAAACCAGAGAACTCTCATGTTCCTGTCATGACATTTTCCAATTTCCAGATGACCAAACCTACACTTCTGCTGATGGGTAAGTGTTTCCTGTTCTCCTCTCTGTGTGTGTGTGTGTGTGTGTCCATGGATCGTGCGTGTGTTTTAATTGCTTTGCACTTTCCTAAGTCCACCCTGCTGTGTCCTCCCTCAGGTGGTGAAAGGTAAGGCTTGTCCCGGGAGCTGCGTCTGCATTGAGGCCCTGCTAACCATCGCACCTCGCAGAGACCTGCACCCTGGCCTGGTGTCGAATCCCTCAATGTGTTTGTGGCTACAGGTACAGTATACCACTAGTCCCTCTGCATTCATTGTCTCTGAAAAATAAGAGAGATGGAATACTTAATATACTGAACCAAAATATAAATGCAACAATTTCAAAGATTTTACTGAGTTACAGTTCATATAAGGAAATCAGTCAATTTAAATAAATACATTTGGCCTTAATCAATGGATTTCACATGACTTGGCTGGGGTGCAGCCATTTGTGGGCGTGAAGAAGCTGGATGTGGAGATCCTGGGCTGGCGTGGTTACACATGGTCTGTGGTTGTGAGGCCGGTTGGACTTACTGCTAAATTCTCTAAAATGACGTTGGCGGCAGCTTATGGTAGAGAAATGAACATTCAATTCTCTGGCAACAGCTCTGGTGGACATTCCTGCAGTCAGCATGCCAATTGCACGCTCCCTCAAAACTTGAGACATCTGTGGCATTGTGTTGTGTGACAAAATTGCACATTTTAAAGTGGCCTTTTATTGTCCCCAGCACAAGGTGCACCTGTCTAATGATCATGCTGTTTAATCAGCTTCTTGAAATGCCACACCTGTCAGGTGGATGGATTATCTTGGCAAAGGAGAAACGCTCACTAACAGGGATGTAAACACATTTGTGCACAGAATTTGAGAGTAATAAGCTTTTTGTGCGTATGGAACATTTCAGGTCATGAAACGTGGGACCAACACTTATATTTTTATTTTTGTTCAGTGTGAATAATCCATCCCATTTCTTCCTCTCCTCCCCTCTGTGTTCTCCAGGCATCCTGCTGCACTTACTCCTGTCGTCCTGTAGAGATGGCCATCGATGACCGACTAGACTACACAACTCAAGGTGTTTACTTTGGACTCCCTCCCAGGCACTCCTCCCAGGGCTTAATGACTGGATTTACTGCATCAATTAGCCATCAGGGTCTCTGAGAGTCTAGAGGCCTGGCTGGCTGATTGATTGTTCTCTGGCAGCTGATGTGCCCTCGCCGTGCTGTTCTGCACTGCTCTGGACCTTCATGCTAACTGCATGTCTGAATGTAAACAGTACAATGTAATTCAATTCAATAAAACATTGTGTACTCAAAGTTATTATTGGATTATTTCTATCTTTCTAATGTTTAGTCTCTTGAGATGTTAAGACTTTTGCACATGTGCATGTTGAATCCATAAAAAGTGTTTATGAGAATGTAGTGCCTGGCAAAATAGCTACTTTTGTGCTATTATCAGAAAGGGTCAGGGGATTAGGTTCAGCTAAATTGATTGTCAATGCTGGTTTTGAGTAGGAAGGGAGGGGGGGGGGGGGGGGGGGGGGGGTCAGTGACTGTTTAAAATTGATCATGGGAACAAGCGGCTGCTATTGATAGGCAACATTTGCCCTTTGATGACTGTCGCTCTGAGTTTAACCTGGGGACTCATTTATCATTCATGTGCACACATGAATATGTGTGTGTGTGTACTGTATATAGTTTGTGAACATTATCACATCTTCAGCATTTACCAAAAGTTTCATTTTTAGGATTTGTTCTTTTGCTTTTGCCTCAGACCGTTCATATACATATGCGTGTCTTAATAGATTGGCAAATATTTATTGATTCTTGTTACAATCTGAACCTGTAGTTACAAGGATTGCATAGTTACATCCATTGAAAAAAATAGAATTTGTGGCAATGTAATCTCCACTACGAAGTAAATACTTGCCTACAACATAGAACAGCGCAGTAGTAGTGGCTCTATAACCAGGCCTGTTTGTTCTTTCCCAGTGTGCTGCAGTGCTTGACCATGAATTGGCCTGACGTACTTGATTACTAGTTATGGAAAACAGGAGGCGTTGTCTCTCTTAGCCCTACAGTTTTGATAAGCTCTACATACTCATCAACATGCACACAGTTAATTGGTGTTGATTGCTTTTGGCATGTTCAATAGTTATCGATCGAGGGGAAGAGGAGTCCTTCAGCTGACTGCTCGCCTGGAGCTGACACTATTCTGGGGTTGAGTCAAATGTCTAGTTGACATCTGGCAGTGAATTTCACAAGGTCACTGCTCTCCTAGGGTTTGCTTCTAGGACATTGGAATATTATGAAGTGGTAACTAATCCACATGCATAAGAAAGTAAACCGTTAACAGCACATTTTGTTTGGGTGTAAAGGGAAATGTACTGCGTTGGTTGCTGCTATTCCCTCCACTGTGAGTTATATAGTTCCAGGTTGACGCTTATTGTCATGAGTCTTACCCTGGAGGCAGAACTGAGCGCTTAAGCTGCAAAGTCAAAATTGTCTGTATCGTAAAAATTCATGAAAACAAAAAGTAGCTTTTTGGTATTAATTTAAGGTGGCTTAGGCATTAGCGTTAGCAGTGTGGTTAAGGTTACGGTTAGGTTTAAAATCCGATTTTATGACTTAGTGGCTGTGCCAGCTAGTGGCTGTGCCAGGAATGGCTTCCCATTCCGTGTCCCTACCAAGATGGTATCCCTACCAATCTGGCCTTTGTGATTTAGTGGGTTGTCAGTAAGGTGTTCTGAGCATAGTATAAGCTTAGAATCTGGCACTGATGATGTATGTGTTATATTGTATAACACTTGATCAGGTCATTAACAAAGACACTAATTGATAAGGAGAGGATCCTAAAGTGTTTGAACACTGTCTTATGTCTTAGCAGGCTTTGTGCCTGTCTGCGGGTCCTGTGCTGATATGAGATGTGCATTGTCTCGGGGGGTCGCTCTGAACACTCGGGGAGCGGTCACCTGCTGTTTCGGCTGAGCTTGCACTCTCATGCAGAGGCACCAAGCAGCTCTACCTATTAAAATGTAAATTCCCTGTGCACTCAGTGGGGCCAGACTGTGGTGGAGGAGGGAGAGGGAGAGGGGATCTGCTCAAGGGTTTCGGGATGTGTCAGCTTGTCCCCTTCACTTCACATGTTAATCACAAACAGACAGGCCCATATGTCTGCTGCCACCGACCTGGAGGAGATGTGTGGAGCAGAAAAAAGCAATTAGAAAAAATGTAGCCGCTTATGATTTGTAATTTTAAATGATCAGAGATATTATACATTGTAACTGCAATTTCTCAGAATTACCCAGAGGGGTGTACTACAAAGCAGGGTCAAGTTATCCAGCTAACTTTGATAATCAACCAGAAATACATTTATTTTCTGGTTCATAAAGAAAGCTAAACTTAGTTATTTGTTTTTGGTTGTTGAGTTAAGTAGACCATGACCATTTCAAGCATATCTTTCAAAAAAATAAAAAGTTATTTCAGAATATCTAGGCAAGTTAGCAGGCTAACTCCTTGATCCTGTTTGTAGAATACCCCTCTTTAAAGATGTTACAGTACTATTCAGGTTTTGACTTGGGTTTATATGAAGGAATTTAAATTGTAATCCCATTTCCTCTGTGGCTGTAGGCCCATGTAGTGGCCCATGTAGTCGTCATGGCAGTTGTTATTAACAGTGATCAATGTCTCCAAAAGTTATTCTGTAAATGTTTGTGCTAACCATACATCTGCTGTGCACTCTGAAATACACATACTCATCATGTTCTGAAGAATAATGGTTGATCACACAATCAAATAGGGGGAGTTTGTTGTGGGGTAGTGGAGGGGATTTTATAGCTTTTTGAACCCAGGGTTCAAATATCATCATTACAGCTTCTCTCTTTGCACTTGTCAACAAATACTGTTATTATTTCTGATTGGAAATACCACAAGGAATCTTTTAAAAGCACTGAAGCTCTCTGAACTGCAATTGTGCAAAACAACATTTGGAAAAGAGCGGCAATGGAGTACATAATATATTTTTTTACCAAAGCTTGGCACACAATTATTTTATTCTCAATAACATGGGCATCTGAGCCACAGCAATTTGAGGTGGAATGAAATGGTCAGCGGTTCACAAAATGAGGTTGCTCTCTAAATGCCCTGCATTTATAGTAATCTTACACTGAAATGACTCTTCTAGAAAATGAGCTTTGTGGATTGCAAGGGGCACTTCACCAAGGCAGTAGTATTGGTCAGACATTTGATTCCTTCATCAGTTGCTCTTGCAAAGTTGATGACATTTAAGTATTGATGCAAAAATCGCTTTGATTTAGCACACAATAACAACAAGAGTTTGTAGGACAAAGCCCTCTAAAATGAACTGGTGTGTTGTGTTCTACTGAGAGTATGAGGTGACGGTAGCAGGATGAGACTGTAGTGAGCAATTACTGTAGGGTCCTCCAGTTCCCTATTAGAGCATGGGCTGCTCTACACTACAGTCAGTCTCACTGCGGCCTCCCCTCTCATCATGACGGAACCCTAAGTGGCCCTCCTTGCTGTTGTTTGATTGTATTCAAAGGGTTGGTTGGCTACGCTACATTCTCCAGTTGGGAGACAGACATCTCTTGTGCTCCTCTCAAGGTGCAGCATTTGGATGGTTTTAGTGTAACCTAAGTTCAACCTTTTGTCAATGTACCCATGTTTTGCTCAATCAAACCCTTGTTGGAATATGTATTCAATTCCTTAAGAGTCTATTGACGCACCCGTGCGTCAATCTAAGTAGCATAATAAGAAAAATCCCCATCAAAATCTGTCAGTTTAACTAGAGATGTCTGGTTTTTTTTTGCATGGGCTGCGTCTCAATCCGCCGCATCCACCTATGTTGGCCTTCCGCATCTGCCGTGGAAGGTGGCCGAGCTACAGCGGTGCTGGTCAGATCATGAGACATCCCGAAAATCGGTCTTCTCACAAAAACATATGTAGCGTCCGAACGGTTTGGCCTACAAACTAATGTGACCACTCTATGGAAAGATGAGACTTTCACGAACACGGGACTCGTCTGAAGGTAACCCAAACAAATGAATGGAAGTATGGAGGTAGTTTTGTGGCAACAAAAATAAGGGGTTAAATATGTGTCCAAAAAACTAAAATATTTCCTGAGCTTTCTTATATCTCATAGATATAGGACAGACAATTCAAAACCTTATTCCTTATGATTTATATTTTGACTGTCTTTTTGACCATTTATGGATGTGTTATTCAATGCGT